AACAAGCGGCAGGAACCTTTACGGATAAATGCTGCCAGCTCACCCTTGGCTCGTATCTTCTGAGCCAAGGTAATTAAAGGATGACATCAAATTTGTCATCCAGATCCAGTACGATGAAGTCATCATCGTACTGTTCGCCCTCTAACGTGCAGTGGATTCCTATTACACCTTTCTCCACGAATTCGATGCGCCTGTGGCGAGGCGCACCGTCATTCTCTTGAGAGGAATGTCGCACTTAACGATCTTGAGCCTACGACCCTCTAATGACTGGCGACGAACAAAGTTGTTCGACGCCCCACAATAAACTAGGGCGCGAAGTGACATATTTTTTTATCACTTGCAACTTCAAGGTGATGAGTGATATCTCATCACCAGGTGCAGAGACATACAATGATTGTGTGTCAGGAGCAACTTTCGTCAAGAGATTTGAAAATTATCTTGAGGTTGCTGGATCAGTAGGGCGGAGCGCCCTACTGACCCCGACCATTTTTTGATGGTACGCTTTGCTGTTGCGAAACCGCAACAGCGTTGGACCTACGCTCATTGCCCATTTTGGCAAGTGGACGACCATTTCGCTCATTACTGTTTGGTACTGGGCGTGGGGTACTACCTTCGTAATCATAGTGTCCAATTTCAGAGAGCGATTGCACTTCTTCAATCGTTTGCTTTTGAAGAGAGAGGTCTCTCGCTCTCAACATAACAGAGGTCCATTGGTTCTGGACCTCCGGTCTCTTTTCGTCCCGCTGGACGATAAGATCTCGAGCTAGCATGAGCTTGTCTCATGCTAAAGTATTCCTGTTCCGAAGCTGCGATTGTTTGTTCAAGCGTATCCAACTCTAGGCGGAACAGGTGGTTTCTGACGGGCCCATCTGTGAGCCCTTGCATGAAAACAGTAATCAACGTGTGTTCATGAACTTGTAAGCAGTCATACAACTCGCAAGGAGTCGTATATGCTGAGCGTAAGCGTGCACATCACGCTTACCTTGTTTGATTTTCAGGAGCTCAGATCGAGCCCTGAACTCAGCCCTTGGCGGTTCAAACGTCTGTTTGAGCCGGGTTTTGAAGGGTTCGAGCGACTCGAAAGCATATGGATCGCTCATCTCCAGACCTAAGACCCAAGTCTTGGCACGTCCCGCCAAATGGGCTTGAGCAAATGTGAGATTTATTTGTTCATCGCTGATACGACGTCCCCTTATGGCTCTGTCTAGTTCGACGAACCATAACGACAGGGAGTCTTCCTCGATTCCTCTGTACTTGAAGATATCAATCTTTAAGATTACGGGACGACACGTTTGTTATCCCGCCGACAGCAGCATTTAATTGCTGCTGTCTAAACAGCTCTGTCTGTCGAGCACCGAGTTCTCTAAACTGCTTGGCCTTTTGAGAGCCTTGCTGGTGAAGAATCGCACTTTCTCTCTTTCAGCGACACGTTCATTTTGAATGAACCTGGCTATAGCGGCATGTTGTTGGTCTCTAAAGAGACTCTAACATGGCGCTAATGGCAATTTCGCCTACGGTAAAACTCATGCATTCTACCGCACTCCATTCGATGCTACTAAAATGGTCAAAGCCTTCAATCGTGGCGAGAAAGGTCTCCTCTTCATCCGACATGTTCATGTCGGATGAGGTGGTTATGATCGCTCGAAGGACTACAACACGCATACAGTGTGACGGGGCACGCCTTGTGTCAGTTCGACACAAGGTTGTGTGCACCCGATGCCACGTACACGTGGCGAGGAAGGATGCAGCGAAGTAGGCAGAACTTGAATGCTCAGTCTAAGGGAACAAGTAGAACGATATTAAACATAGTTAGTTATATCCATAATAAACCATCTTCATCTTGAGCTAACTATATTAAACGACAATCTCCTGTATGGATTTCTTATCAACAAACCATTGCGCGCGTTCAGCAGCGGTTGGTGGTTAATCTGGTTGATGTACCGTCCACATCAAGCAAGATGTGGACCCCTTCACGGATATTACCCTCAGAGGTAAATTTCCGCCAACATTACCTCTTCTCAAGTGATGTTGATTGAGTATTATCTAAATAGATAATATTCGAAAGTTGATACATTCGTATCAATTTTATGTAACGGGCTCACCCCAATACATACAGGACCTCGTACTGATGAATCTGATCATCCCGAGACACGAGTCTGCGCGCAGGCGCTCTGCTGTCCGAGACCTAGTGCTACCTAGTATATAAAGTAGCGGTCGCACGGTAACTTTGTTTTCGGGTTACAGGATATAGCAGGTCGTACGCTTACCTAAACATACCTCACCTTCTCACTCACTAAATGTGACACGAGCTCAGTGACTTTTCTGCAATAACGTCAATGCCTTGCGCACACGTCCGTCGGTCAGGCTGTTTTGCTTACGATGGTGAGTTCTTACCACAACACTCAAGATATGCCATGAAGACCAGTGGTATCTCGGCTGCATGTGCTTGAATACACTCGTAGTGTTGTCTGAGCTTTGGCCACCGTAGGTGAGTTCTGCTACGACCATACACACTTCTTCGAAAGCAACCACATCATCCGTACCTTGCTGTCAATTTGAAGTTGGCTGTGTTCTCGACAATGGCCAGTCACAGCCCAATCTTACAAGCTGGCATACAGCTAAACGTTTGGTAACATCAGACGCGGCTATCCGCATCCTTGCACACGCATCTCTGTGCATTTAAAGCACAATCGTCGATTGCACGTACCGTTCCCCATGCATTCAACGAGCCGCGAACGGTCCTTCCATATCGCCAAACAAACACCTCCATCTTCAGCGATCATTCGACTCACTGATTTGTGACACGCTGAACGAACGGTGTGCTCGAGCTCCAGTGACGAAGCACACGTGCTCGCCCAAGTTGATTTCGACTATTGTCACGACATACCACACATACTGTGATGCATCGTGTGCAGTACATTCGATGTTTGGCACTACCTCGTTCTTGATCGTTAGAACTTAGCAGAAGCCAATAATACACACAGAGTACCAATAAAGCCGACGAGAACAGCGGGTACGCAGACCGACCGCTCGCGCACGTCTCACGTTGTCAGTGGTACTCGATTGCGTGGCGAAGCTACACCCAGATCGGTACAATTCCGTTGACTTCCGAGCTGGAAGCTCAACATTTTGATACTGGGCGCCGATGTCGAGCAGCGTGTGTGTGTGTGACGAAATCGACCCTACAGCACAGCTTGGCGGGGCTCATGACCTCTCATGCGGATCAACCAAATTGGCCTTGATCTGTACCGCCTGACTTGACTTGCCTTTGATCCAGCCAGCACGTTCGTTGGAAAGCGCTGGGTTTAGAACGGAACACGGGGTGAACGGTTTCGTGTTGAGTACGTTCACACCATCGACACCCTTCTGCGTGTCGGAATCATGCAGTTTTGGCAGAGGACAGGACACGAAGTCATGCTTGCATCCGAGAGATCATGTACATTCAGAATAGCGCTGTTCATGGTGTGAGTGAGTGCGAGCTGGCTTGTCAGGTACCATCCAGCAAGAGTGCATCATCGTGATTTATAGTTACTGCACAACACGCACCCTTCTGCCTCACGATTCTGGTTGCCGAAGAGATAAAGCTACTGCTGATTACGACATCTCTATCGTACGAAGAGTATCATCGCACCTGCGCTGGATGTAGATGTCTGTGAATAGATTGGAAAGGAGGGTCTACGTTTGCGTGCGGCACCTGCTCAGCTCTTTCGCTCCGTGCACTAGCGGTTCACTTCGTAGCACTTGGTACGTACCTACAACGAAATTGCACTCGTAGTCATTTGTGCAAACGCTCAGAAGGTCGCGCGGAAGAGTCGCACGCACGTTCATTGCACTCCCGTGGTTTCAATCCACGCAAAAACCGCTAGCGCTCGGCGTAGCTGGAGAAAGACATGGCGGTTTCATGTCTTCCTGACGCGTTTTCGGATTGAGAATGCCAAGTCGAGCGTAACACATGGCTGCTTTGCATGACAGCTCTGGTGCAATGACAAGCTGCCGGTTGGTGGTCGCGCAGTGTACTCCGCAAGAGACGTCGAGACGTTAATACTACGCCACGATTGTGGTTCGTCTGCACCTGGACCGGGTGCTTGCACTTCTGTTGCTTTGCAGCTCGCGAATCGAGATCGCCAAACACTTGCGTGTTCACGTTGCTCGCACGACGGGCATCACCCCTTGGGCCTGTCACAATACTGAGCGGTACCACATGCTCCTGTAGCACCGACTGTGGGTGAACAAGTTTGTTTACACACTGAACGTCAAGCCACAACTAACAGTTCGAAAGCTTCTCCTCTACGACTCGGCTCATTCCCGTACACGAAGTTTGACGTTAGCTGCTTGAGCGTTACCAACAAGCTGCCGGCCAACCTTTCGGCATTGCGAATCATAGTTTGCGAGCACGTGAATCAGTCTGGCTGACCGTCAATCGTTGACTTTGCCCCACTTGTTTTCCTACAGTCGTGACAGAGCCGAAACCCCCCCAGGCATCCCATTCCTTCTTCTACGATCGCGCACGCCTTGTCCGAGAATCAAGCAGCCACATCATACATACGCGGTACGACCCGAACATGACGACCCTCGACTCAATTTCGTGCTATACCCTCAAAATAAATGGCTTCGAGTCCCACACGGCACTTGTCCCCACAACGAGCGCATCTGCAGGTGGAGTTCATTGTAGAAAAAGCTCATCCTTTCGAAAGAAAGCAAGCAACAGAGCTACGGCACTGTCGCAAACGTCATCGATGCGACTGGACTATTTTTGATCGTCGGATCAAAAAAAAGCGATTTTATTGCGTCTTTCTGGACCGTGGGAATCTGCGACATGTGAAGTTGAAGCGACACCTCTGACTGGCTGCGCCTTTCTTGGATCGCACTTGGCACGAGATAGTAATCGCAAACTCGTTTGCTCACTGCCTCTTCATTTGAGCTTTTGCAGTCCTCGAGACACAGTCGCACACGCACGTTTCAAACGTCGTTCAGCAAACGCTGTGTCCTTGTCGCTGGTGATGGCGTCCACGGGATTCAGCAGTGAACTGGAACAAGGCGGCCACAGGAGCTGGGAGAACCTGAAGAAAGCAGAAGGACTCAAGGGACGCGCGAACACTGTGCAGAACATGAACTACCAGAGTACGACACGAGTTGAGACGAGGACGTGCGGTCCAACCGGCCGACAGATTGACCGACGGATTGATGAGTTGACGGCCTGTACGAAGTACTACGTGGAACAGAAATGGACTAACCTCTTTTTTGCTATTGTTGTTGTTGTTGTTGTTGTTGTTGTTGTGGCTGTCAATCTGTTTCAGGCGAAGAGCAGAAGCTTTTGTATCAAGAACTTCCGTTTCGGGTCCTGCCGGGCATGCGCCGTCGATCGTTCCGTAGTGAGCGCGAGTTCCCTCAACTTCGAACGCGCGGTTCCTGGGCCAATCTATCGCGACTTATCAAGAAGGTGCGGCAGTCTGTCCGCTTCAGCTACTGGCAAGACCCACTACGTGGTTGGCAGCCTGACTTCTAACGTCTTGTGATCGGCGACTTGTTGCTTGCTGTTGGTATTGTTGGTGTCTGGATGCGCAGCATGGCGAGATTCAACCGCTTCTCGAAGAAGAGCAAGACGATAGTCTCGAGCCAGGCTACACGTACCCGTTGCTCCAGTCGTGTGTCGTAGCCGTTCTCAATGCGTTCCAGTACGGTTACAACACAGCAGTCACGGGCGCCATGAATGCCACCGTCGTGTTTCCTGGCCACTCCAACATGCTCTGGGCACTCTGCGTGTCGAGTTTTGCCGTCGGTGGACCGATTGGATCTGCCATTGGAGGACAGCTGAGCGCCACGCTGGGTCGCAAGCAGACAATGTTTGCCAACTCGTGCCTCTTTGTGTTCTCGGGGCTTGTCATGGCGTTTGCTGCCAACATGTACATGTTGATTCTTGGCCGCTTTCTTGTGGGTATTGCGTCGGGTGCAGCGACTATTCTTGTACCGCTCTATCTTGGCGAACTCGCGCCGCCAAATCTTCGTGGAGCTTTGGGGACCACCTACCAAGTTGCAATGGTGCTCGGTATCCTCGTGACGGATCTCCTGGCATTTGGCTTTGCTGGAGAGAGTGACGGCTTGGCACGCCCTGGATGGCGTCTGATGTTTGGCTTTACGGGAATTCTTGGACTTTTGCAGCTCGCGCTTGCTCCGCTACTGATTGAAAGTCCACGGTGGCTACTCAACAATGGCAATCCAAAGGATGCAGAGGGGACGTTGCGTACTCTGCGTCAGTCGGACGACGTGGTGGAAGAAATGGACAGCATTTCGGCTGCAAACGCGAGCGAGTCGGGCAATGTCCAGAGCATTGGCGATGTTCTGCGTGACCCGAGTATTCGCCTACCTCTCCTCGTTGCTGTCGTCTTGCAGTTTGGCCAGCAGCTGAGTGGCATCAGCGCAGTCATGTTCTACGCGAGCTCGTTTTTTCAGAGCGCGGGGCTGGAGAATCCACTGATTGGCATCACGCTCGTGTACATTGTGAATGTGCTGGCGACGATAGTTGCCCTGATGCTGATGGACTCGGCTGGCCGTCGACCGCTCCTGATTTGGTCAATGGTTGGCATGCTCGTGTCGACTGTGGTTTTGACCGTCGGGCTTTCGAATCTGCTGCCCTTGTCGAGTATCTTCAGTGTCGGCGGTGTCATGAGCTTTGTGTGGTTCTTCGAGATTGGCCTTGGTCCCATCCCGTGGCTGATTGCAGCCGAGATGTTCCCACCCAAGTCACGTACATCAGCGACGTCCATTGCTACGATGGTCAATTGGTTGGGCCTTTTCATCATTGGCATTGTGTTTCCAACCATGCAAAGCGCGCTGGGTAACTTTATCTACGTCCCCTTTGCCATAATGCTGTCCCTCACGTTGGCCTTCTCCATCAAGTTTGTACCCGAGACGAAAGGCAAGACGCTGGATGAGGTTCAAGAAGAAATCAACCGGCACTAGCAAGCTGCGTGGCCTGACACCACGAGTAGTTCAGTGCAGTGGACTTTGTACAGTCTTTTTCCCGGGATGAACGTATGCATGAATGAACGTATGAGTGAATGAAAACACGCGAGCATTTACACAAGATCGACCATCTTCTTCATCGTTTCATCACAAGCCGTCAGTCGTTGTCAATCGATATAACTAACACACGACGCAACAATCCTAAAGTCTCGAGCAAAAGTGTGACCATTCCATTGTGTGTCCATTGACTTCCTCCTAATAAATACCGACATCTCTTCGACACGCACTCAGCCGTTTGTCGCTTCTTCTTCATTCACACTAACTTCCCACCCGCTTTTTCCTCTCACTACGCCCGTGTCGCGTCTTTTCGTCGTCGTTCCCCAATACAATCACGAGTAAAAGAACGACTCCCCCGTTTGTTCCGACAAAAAGCGCTGGACCAGTGCTGGAATCGCGTGGTAGCCTCGCAATGTCCGCGGACACGATAGATAGTCTTCACGCACGACATGCACCAGTTGATTGATAAACGAGCTCAACAGCGGTTTGCGCTCGTCAGGCTGAGTCGTAAACTTGACCTTGAGACTGGGCTTCGACGGCGTCAGGTGCAGGAACTTCAGCACATTGACGCAATACGCACACACGCGGCACTTGGGGTGGTACTTGCGGGCCACGTTCGCCACGTTGGACCGCAGTCGTGCGAAACTCGAGTAGCGCTGTTCAATTTGGTAGTCGAAGCGTCTGTTCTCGAGTTCGAGGCCACGTACGTTCGTGTACGATCGAAGGTGTCGATGTCTTGTCGTAGTTACGTTGCGAGCAGCAGGCGGCAGTCCCTTTTGCTGGCACTTCCGGTACATGTTCAGCACGTAGTACATCACACCTTCTTCTCGCTCAAGGACTTCGTGGATCGCGACGTACTCAATACGCGAGAGGAAGAGACGGATCGCCATTGCTCGAGAGAGCTGCAGCGGGTACAGTGTCACGGGCACGAGGTTGAGCTCGCGCAGTAGGAAAATCTCCGAAGCCAGTGAACAGCTCGTTGTCTCTTTGCTCAAAGTCGTGTTGCGGCTCTTGTTGCTACGACTACTGCTAGTGCGATGGCTACTACGGTCGAGCGACATGAAGGACGTAGCGAAGGCAGTGACAGCTCTTCCGACAATGGCGTCGTGCTCGTGACTGTGATCAGCCTTGGCCATGACAATTTGCCGTTTGAGCTGCTGGTAGCTGATGAGCTGCTGAGGGATGTCGAAGGAGGTCGACCAGTCGTGTCACATCTTTCTGGGCGACGAGGCTTATTGACCCGTCCCGCCTTTTCCAGCCGTCGTGACCAAGCGCGTTGATGCGCCGCCCTCAGATCGACCGGCTCTGCGTACTCCTCCTCATGTGCCCCAGCAGTGCCTGGACATCGTCACGATGCGGTCGCTCATTTGCTGTCGTACCAACTGATGCCTTGTCGGACTTGATGGAACAAGGACGAACGTCTCGCAACGTTTCTGTCTGTCTGCCGTGTCGAGCGTAACGGCATCGACACGACCAGTAGTGTGTCCTGGCAAGCACAAGGGTCGAGCAGGAAGAAGTGTCCGGTGAACAATGACTCGAAGCCACGTAACGTGCTCGTCCGTCGCCGACAGGTTGTCAAAGCGACAGATGCACCTGCAGCTTCGAGGACCGACACCTGCACCACATCATGCAGCGAATATTCATACTCAGAGGCCAGACCATCCAGGCAAACGCTCTACTTGCACGTGGTCGACTGACAGACGACTAGCGGAGCAGCAGCGTCGCTATCTATCTCAGTTCCTCTCGCCCCCTGTCACGCTCTCTGCTTACAGACGGTGGGCGATACCCATCTTCGACTGGCCAAAGATGGGAAGGAAGCAAGAGAAGGGTCTCCTCCTGTCATTCCTTCGCCAGTCAAACGGCAGGTCAAACACTGATCCACCGCGTTCTTGCCACTCTCCTTCCATCTCTTGTCTGCATAACTGCCTACTCTCTTGTCTCGAGACGACGCGGACGTCGAGCTCTCAGCGACCGCTACCTGTCTCAGAAGGTCCGGAATGGCCTTGAAACTTCGAGGTCCAGCGAAGGAATCCCTACAACAAGTACATCAGTCTCTTGTCCGTGGATCTGCATATCGCACCATGAAGTTTGAGGCTGTTGTCGCTATAGCTGTTGAGATCAAGCGCCGTCACCGTCGGCTCACTGCGATTGTTTAAATTTGGGAACTAGTGCTACTGACATGCGAACGCAGGTCAAAACTGCAACAACGTTTACTGGTTAGCGTTACTCCCCTGCTATCGATGTAAGGAACGTGCGACCATAACTGCTGCGATCGGTCGTCCGGCAACAAGTAGCAGCGTTGGCAGTGGTTGCGGTGCGTCAATGGCGTCGGTGCGCCTACGATAACTACGGCCGTTGCTGCTTTGCTTCACACATCGAGTGGGCGATGAGCGCTATCATGTGCAGATGGCATCTGCGTGAACGTAAGGTGACCCGTGTGACGGGGCGTGTAATGCCGACGTCATGCTCTCTCGTGATCGAAAGTGAGAGCGTTTTCACACGAGCTGAGGCTGCTGCACGTGGTGAATAGCGCTTACGAGAGAGACAGCGAGAGAGAATCGAGTCAACCGTTTACGATGCTTTGCACCAGTAACGGGGCAACAGCAAATAGCGGAGGAGCCTCTTCCTCTTCATTGCTTCGTTATGCACAGCATGAGCGTCATGCTCTTCGTTCGTTTCCGTGCAATGGTGCGTACGGATTCAGTTTACAGGTTGTAAGATTTCGTTTCTACTGTGCTTCGACAAGCTCAGCTTACGGGTCCGAGCGCACGTCTTTGCCAAATTGGACGGCGACATCTGATGGCACGATCCGAACATCGGCCACGTGCTTCAACGAGTACGAGCGAACGACTGAACTGGCATTGCGTGCGCATAGAGCAACGCCAACCGTTTTTGCTGAAGTTCAAGCAGGAGAAACAGCAGCAGCTTATGCGCAAGCGCTTATCGTCACCAAAGGGTGCCACGTCTGGAGTACCAAATGGACGTGCTCGTCCTGCCAACGTGCTCACGACGTCAGCCGAACGCCTGTAGAAGTGCGCTGACCCAGCGTAGTGTATCGATCATATATCACCAGCCCGCGCGTTCAAAAACGCAGCATTCACTCACGCCGCGCTTGCTTAACTGACTGTCCATACAACCTACTTCCCCCGTGCATGTCAGCAACAGCATTCGTTGCACTGGCTCGACCCCCGCGATCACTCCGACGTAGCCGACATTCAGAGCCAGCCAGATCGAGAGAACTGCATTGCGTCAATCGCCCTGTCCGTATTCAATAGTAAGCGCTCTGGCCACGCCGCAGAAAACAAACGCTTTGCCTCTGTATGCCATTCATGGCGATCCATTGCGAATCATAGGGTCAACACGCAAGTACGTACCAGCTGCTCGATGGCCGAGATCCCGATGATGCGTCGTCGAACGCAGTAAGTTCGCGTTCAGTGTGGTAATGGAGTGAACCACCTTAATAAAGGACGTCCCTGCGCATCGCAAGACGCGCTGCTCGACAGACGAGACGCGCTCGGACGCAGGTACCGTCTGCCGACCAGCGCCGGGCGCCGTTTCTGTGGGCTCGTCATGCATACAGGTGAGAGCGGCCGACCCACCACGAGGAGCTCCGTTCAGTCCACTTTCCAATTTCCCTCCACTACCACTACCACTACCGCTACCACTACCACTTCCACTACATCAACACGCACCACTACCAGCACTGCCGCCTGCGTAGAGTATGGGTTCCCACTGGGGCGACTCGATCCCCTTGACGCAAACGGCCGTGATCTACGAAGCCGATAAGGCCGCACTGCAAGTGCGCAAGGACTGGCCGGTCGTGCAGCCCAAGGACCTCAAGCCCGGCGAAGTGCTGGTCCGCATTGCCTACACGGGCGTGTGCCACTCGGACCTGGCGGTCTGGCAGGGCGAAGGGCCGCCGGTCGCGAAGGCGTTTCCCATGGTGGGCGGCCACGAAGGCGCTGGCCACGTTGCTGCGATCGGAGAGCACACGCGCACGCGTCTTAAGGTCGGCGACCCCGTGGGGGTCAAGTGGTTGGCCCACACGTGTCTCAGCTGCGAAGACTGCCGCAAAGGGTACGAGACCGCGTGCAGCGCTGCGGAAATCCACGGCTTCACGCGCCATGGCACGTTCCAGCAGTGGTGCGTGTCGTTGGCGGACCACGTGACGCCCATTCCATTGACGTTGGACTTGGCGGCCGCAGCGCCCATCATGTGCGCGGGCCTGACGGTCTACAAAGCTCTGAAGCAAATTCAGGGCTCCTTGGGCGACTACGTCTTGATCCCAGGCGCAGGGGGCGGGTTGGGCCACTTGGCGTGTCAGTACGCGCGGGCAATGGGCTACAAAGTCGTCGCGGTCGACTCGGGCAAAGACAAGCGCGAGCTGCTCGAGTCGTACGGCGTCAAGCACTTTATCGACTACATGACCCCTGACGTGGTCGGGCAAGTGCGTGCAGCAACGGACGGACAAGGCGCACATGCCGTGGTGGTCGTTGCAGGGGCCCCCGATGCGTACAAGGACGCGCTCTTGTGCCTGCGTGCTCGTGGGACGCTCGTGGCCGTGGGCGTGCCCACTGGTGCCGCAATTGTTGCGCCCGTGACGTTGATGATCCAGCTCGAACTGCGCATCATCGGGTCCTACGTCGCGAGTCGTCAAGACGGCATCGAAGCCGTCGAGCTCGTGGCCGAGGGACATGTGGTGCCCGAGTTTACGCTCGAGAAACTCGCCAACCTGCCGGACGTGTTCCGACGCATGCAGGCCGGCAAAGTGCGGAGCCGCGTCGTGCTGGACTGCAAGTGAAGTGGGTGGAACGTTGTTGTGCACGAGAAAACATCACGCAATGGAAGGAGGAGGAGGAGGTGATGATCACACGTACGTAGTAGTAGTAGTAGTAGCAGTGGTAATAGTTATACTAGTGGCAGTACCTCTCTATCTCGACACTTGATGCAACTCGATGCCTCATCTGTGGCGTGAGAGTCGCGTCGATCGGACCTGCAGCAGAGGCCGACGTCGTCTCTGCTGCTCGCTTGGCGTCTGCTCACGGCTTCACAAATATCGACCAGTGTTGCTTCTCGAGTACTCATTCTAAACGCCGTCATCTTACCGTCGATCCTGTTCACGGCGGCCGTTTTTGAGATCCCGTCATGGGCCAGCAAAGACATTCAAAATCTCTACAAACAATTTTTGTGGGACCATTCGACCTCGACGGACGCGCGCCGTCATAAAATCAACCCTGGTTTGCTGTACACGCCGAAGAAAGCCGGTGGGGTTGGTCTAGCCTCGGTGGAGGTGGCCATCAAAACGCAACGGACCAAACACGCGCTGCGCTGGCTCACCCAATCGCACGACAAGTATTTTAATGCTTGGAGGTCCTGGGCGTACCAAGGCGGATCTACCGGTTCGGGTATGGTCATGCATACATGGCTGCGTAGCCGGGAACGGCCTTTACGCATCAGCAGGTCTTCGCTGGCTTTCGTGGCTAAAGATCTAGACTTGCTTCTTGAGCCGTCGGCGGCGCACGCTGGTCAACGACGGGATCGGACATCGTCTTTTCTTGATTCTCTCGTACTACAAGCGGTAAGTCGATGGATAGGGCGTGGCTGGGAACTACACTTTTCCACTACGTTACCTGACGAAGTCCCTCCTCCGGAGGGTTCTGATTATCAACTACGCGCGGTGCGTCAATTTTGGGGGACGTTTGGCTGGTCCGGCAATCCGTGGATCCGGGATGCTAAAGGTGTGAAGTTGTTGCACTCGAAGTTCAATCAAATAGCCGCCTGCTCTATCGCTGACCTGCACATTTGGAGGACGGGCCCGACCACCTATGTTTTCACCATCCCGCCCTCGCGGTCAGAGGGAGTCACGTATTCCCAGCCGAAGCTTCGCCGGTGGGCGACAGCAATTTTATTGGCGTCTCCGTTATGTACGGTCGGGTCAGAATTGGGCGTGGCGGCAGCATTATCTCTTCGGCATCCCCCCCCATTTCGTTATGAATATGACTGGGTCACTGTGAGTCGGGGTTGCGTCGTGGGAGCTCGCAGGAATTCACTAGAGGAGAGAGACGGAATGGTGCAGTTACGCCAGGGCTCCGATGGGCTGCATTGGTTGTTTCAAGACGGCCTACCCGAGCTCCACACGGCGTCGGACGGTGACAGCCAGCGATGGGCTACGCACATCCGGCAGCACGGCGTGGTCTTTTATGCTCACCCAAGTCACCACCACTTTGCGTGGGGAGTACCCGAAACGGTTCCTAATGGAGCTCTCCGTCAGGCTATTTTGCACCGGGCTTTCTCGCTGCACAAACACCGACTAACTCGGCCTTTACTACCCTTATTGGAGCGGCTGGATGCAGTCTATCGAGAGGATTCGTGGCTAAGGGCGGCGGCGCATCAGCAACCATCCCAACTTTGGAAACATGATAACGGACTCTCCGACTATCAAGTTTGGACGGCGTATCGAGTCGCCACCAAGCAGCTAAATTTTCATCATGCCGGGCGGGCTGCCGACCCCAGCTGCCGGGCCCTGCCTACGTGTCACGGGGTGCCCGAAACGTCGAGGCACGTCTTTTGGGATTGTCAGAAGGCGCGGGCGTGCTGGGCTAAGTTCATCAGCCATTGGATCGGCGCTTCTGTGTCGAGTGCGGTAGTCCATAGTTGTCTCAGCAACTGTGCGAATCGACAGGCTCCGGCGATCCCGGCGTTTCAGCGGTCTCGGTTGCTCGAGCGGTTTCACGATGATGCCGCAGCGGGGGAAAAGGTGTGGCGACGGATTTGGTTTTTAATGTGTTCCGTTTGCATTACGCATTTATGGAGCGAGCGCAACGATGCCGTGTTCAGAGGCGTGCAGTCTACGACGGCTCAAAGTGTCGTCCATTTCTGGACAACCGGCGTCCGTCAATTAACGGCCTTGGCTATGCGTGAGCATAGAGGGGCGTCGACAGTTCTTCGAGGGGCTCGATTACATGCCTCCCTTGAACTTTTTACTCTTGAGGCTAGCGGAGTTTCGCTACCACTAGAGAGGTGCCTTGATCCACCGCCGCGACCGGCGCTGTATTCTAGGCTTAGAAGATTTCAGACTTCTAGCGCGTAACCATCATGTGCAATAGCCAGTCATGAATCTCTCTCTCGTCTCTGCTGCTCGCTCGTTATTGCCTGACGTTCCTCAGGATCACGTGGTGGTCGTCACGGTGCGACTTCCCTCTTCGTTCACGACCTTTCAGCCGCGTGGTACGTACGTACGTGCGTACGTGCGTTGGTCGATGCATCATACAGCACAAGCGCATCCTCCAGTCGGGTGGCCACTTGAAGCCTACACACAGCAGCGAGTGTCACGTGACCGTAATTGTGCCAAGAAAGAGCCACTGGCGTAGAAAGACCGACGGCCCCAGTGGGCGGCGGCCGTCATCAACGCGTATCGATCACGTGGAGCTGTCGCCGGGTCAACAACACCGCTCGAGGCCGCCGTGCGACAGCTCGTGAAAGAAAGCACATCACCCGCCGCTCAATGTCTCCCACCAAACGATCGCCTGGACCCGTTTCTGCGGGTTACATGGCACAACGCGGCAGCTCATGTCCGACTCGCGTGCGGCGTTCGCGACGACGGCGTTTGACGACCACAGTGGACGGACCGCTGTCGTTCGGTCACCTCTCTCACAATCCGCTCACGTCTCCAGTCCTGTGGCAGGCAGTCAGACCTGCGGATAGACAGACAGACAGATCTGCCTACAACTTTTCCGCGCGGATCGGTCGTCTGCAGTCTATCGGGTCGTCACGAGTGTTGAGGCTCGACGGCTGGTCCTCGACGACAGGGGATCCCACTTTCAGGGAACGACAGAGCGTCCGTCCGGTTCCCAACAAGCGCAGATGGGACGACCTGCTGCTCCCTTCACGGACTAAACGTATCTTGGCGCCACCGCTTCACGCAGCCCATGATCCGAAACATGCGGTGCGTCCATGTCCGTCTTCCAGATCCCCTCGCAAACACACAGAGAGAGTGAGAGAGGAACACACGCCGCTGCCTGACGAACGCACAGGCGCCACAAACGATCATCCAACGAGCTGAGCGGGTGCGGAACCGCTTTGGAGACTTTGCACGAGCAGCTCACGTAATCCGCAGCTATCTCTACACGTCCTTTTGACGACGTTGGCAATGCTCGACACGGCGAGCGAGCACTCGAGTCTCGATACGCTCGAGCTAGGCGGACGCTTGTCACAGCTGTCTCGAGCCAAAGGGGCCGTCGCGCTCAATGGCGTGCACCACGTGCGCATGTACACAACCTACAAGCTCGAGGAGCACGTGACTGTCTACGTGCTCGACGTGTTCTTGCAGGCGACACCGAGGGGGTTGCCCAAGACAACAACAGCAACAACGACAACGACAACGGGACGTGTGCCCACGCGTAGACAGAGCAAGCACCAACGCAGGCGGTTCGACGTGAAAGAAGAGGAGGCCGAAGCCGGTCCGGCCGACTACCAGGTGGAGCACCGCTACTCGGCGTTCCGTGCGCTGCGCGAGCGCGTGCGCGAGACGGTTGCCGCCCCCAAGGACAAGTCGCATCCCTACTGGTGTCCCTACTGTTCGCGCGTGCGCGAGTTGCTCGGGTCGGTCGCGTTCCCATGTCGGGTCCCCCACAGCGGCTGCTTGGCCCTAGTCACGAAGTTCCTATCCACTACACTCATTCGCAGGCGCGAGCAGCGCTTGGGTGTGTTTATCAACGAGCTACTGCGTGCGGCAAAGGACGTGTCGTATCGGTCCGGTTGTCGTCCATGTGACCGGTTTGAAGCTGTTTCGAGGACATTGAGCGACTTTTTCACGCCAGCGACAACGAGGCCGACCGGAACGGACAGGAACGCACGTTTGTAGCAGATACTGAACGGGTGGTCGGGAGGGCGTGTGGGACGTCGGGACGCCACGAACACTTGGACGTTGTATGGTTGTGCCACGCGGGACTGGGAGATGACGCTAGGTACGCGCGAGACGAAGCTTGCGTAGGTGCGCATGTGTTGTGTGTGTAAAATGGACGGGTATGTACGAGGAAGGGCACGAGTCAAGAGAGAGAGAGAGAGAGTGATTGAAGGCACTACACGTCGTTTGTCTCCTGTTGTAAACGAGATCTTTGCTGGTGTTGTCGTTGCTGGATACCGATCCATCGACGTTTTCTAGTTAGCTGGCCTTAATCCTATAGCGTAGAGGCACGCGATATCATCGGTACACTGCAATTACTTGGCAAGAGGGGCCTTTGTTGACCAGTAGATCAATTGCTGTTGTCCAAGTGCGACAGCATCACGTAGATGGCGTCTTTGCTACAGCATCGGTCAGCATCCGCCCGAGTCTGTTTATCCACCGAGACCACAAACGCAGCGGTCGTCTTGTCAGAACGATTTGCTGTCCTCGCGATCACCAGTTGAGCTCAGAAGGGCTTTCTAGTGCTTTTTAGTATTCTTGTCCGGTTGTTGTAGTTGTTGTCCTAATGCTATAGGTGCAGAGGTCAGACATGCAGCATGTCCGAGTCGTCTCGACGGACAGCTGCAAGAGCACACAGTGACGTATCAGACACGCACTTGCTCGACAGTCGAGCAGCCACAGGGACGGTATATATCACGTTGTAGCTGCAACTAGACACTTTACTGGCGCGACCATACGAAGCGGTGTCCGTCGTGTGTGCTTCTTCTCACGTTCCTTCCGCCGAAACCTTACCGTCCATACCGAGAATCATCTCATACCAACGGTGCCACGGCGCGTGACTACCATGGAAACGTTGTATGGTCGCCATGCCACCGCTTCACAATGCCACGAAATGATACGCATGCTAACGAGCAAAAGAGCCACAGACCGTTCGACTTGTCGTGTTGGCCATTCCATCGAGCGTTCAGACCGTCAGTGTATCCCAAAACAACGGCCACGACACTCGACGCGCGTCAGCCCTATCGTAACACGGCTTGAGGTATGGTACAATGCAATCGCGCAAGAGCCGTCAAGGCAAGTGGAAAGCGCAGTTCTGACGCTCGCTAGACGGACAAAGAGGACAACGCGTGTCTTGTGACTACCGATAGCTTTCTGTGCACTTGAGACGATCGATAGAGCTGCTAGGGACTGATACAACCGAAGACAGCAAGTTGTCAATCGCTGCTGATGCCACTAGCAACGTAGCAGCACAAACAGAAGATTGTGTGGCATTATTGTTGAAGAGCGCAAGGTCAGTGGGGACGTGAGGTCGACGAGGCGCTTACGAACGAATCGTGTGGAAAGGCTGCCATGTTTCGGTGGCTAGTGGTCGAGAGGGGGGTTGTAAGTGACTACAATGTATCGCTTCGCGCCGCGACAAATATGTCGATCGTGCAATTGAGGTTACGCGAAGTAGACAATGGTCAGCGTTATGCTGCGGGATCGACGCCGACACTTCGCATGGCGGTACTTAACCAATATGTTTACTTCTGGCTTGCACGCAGGCGCCACCTACAAGTGTTCGCAGTGATACGCAATGGATGTAGGATCAGGCACGATATCAAAACGATTGCAGTACGCAAAACCGATCATCTATGCTGCGCTGCTTGTCGTAGAGAACCACGTCGACACTCCCTTCGCTCACAGATTGAGTCTGCATCGCTCGCTGACGCACATGTTGCAAAGCATTTGCTTATGCTACAATCGCAAAGGTGGCAAAACTGCGTTGTCGGCGCACAAGATCGATCTGAGGCTCATGAGCTTTCGTAATGGATGATAGCATACTTCACTACAGTGCTGGTAGGGACAGTCTCCAAGACTCAACGTCGCCGAAGTTGTCGTGTAACCCATTATCCTATTTGGACTGGACAGATGCATGTAGATATCCGAAATCATTGGCCTGATGATGTCAATCCGACTACTTCGTGTACACGAAAAGGAAGTGCTAGTTCAGCACGCGGTCAACGCGTTGCGTGACGTCAACTGCAGACATGGTCGAAACGGCTTTGCGTCTGTCGGTTTAGATGCAGGCTGAGACGTCGCACGAGGGATCGGCCCGCTGCACCGAAAAAGCTCTAGCCTTCGTACCAACGTTGCAATCTCGAGCGGCCAGACTCGACCAGGCAGGCGCTGTCACGCAGCTACTGGTCACACTTGAACTCCGCTTCCCGGCTATCCTGCATGCTATTGCTACCAGTCCGAGGTGCAGTGTAAAACATGACTGGCGGGCACGACATTGTCGGGGATACAGCGCATCGCCTTTCCGCTGGCTCCGGATGTCGGCTTTCGAAAGCGCTGCCGGCTGCTCGTCCGCCCTCCCGATCTTCAACGTTGCGACGCCGCTACGGCGGACGACCGCTGCGAAGTTTGCCGGTGCACAGTATATACGAGCAGCAAAAAATGATACACAAGACGGAGTTTACGAAGGGTCAGTCACCCGTCAAGAAGTTGACGCAACCAGTGGAGCGATTCGACTTCGTGCGTAGCCACCAAAGCCAATACGTAACTTTCGATCCACGAGCACACAACACTTCCACCTTCGAGGCATGTACGAATGACCAGCTTTTCCCAGCGACGGCCATTGCTGACGGCAAGCGAGCATACGGTTCTGGCGAAGTCGCAGTCAAAAGTCGGACGGACTCAACGGGTTCCTTGCCACTCATGAAGACGCCCATGTCGATGGCAATGGCAATGTGCTCTTAGCACCTGCGTCTTGTCCATAAACTTTGTCCACCATCATCATCATCATCATCAGTACTATGTCTCCTCTCCTACGTCTCTTGTCGCACGTGACACGTTCCACTCATCTTCTTTCCGCCTTCGTTGCTCTCCGTACCGTCTTCCGTGAGCTTCGCTGTAGCGTTGTGTACGTGCCAGTTCACTTGCGCGCTGCTTACTGTACTGATCATCATCGTCGGTTCGTTCGTTTTCGTTGAAGGCAGCAACAAAGCAATCGATTATCTCGTCGACGGATTTCTAGCCGCGTAGCAAGTGGCGACTTCCCGACACCTCCTTTTGTATGCATTCCACACGTCTCTCACGCGAGCGAACACGTTCCATTATGCACATCGAACGTACTGCCGTATATTACACTGCAATCTATTGCGACCATAAAGTATCTAGCCACCAGTTCAACAACGACGGCCCTCTCTCTCTCTCTCTCTCTCTCTCTCTCTCATCGTAAGCGATTCCATGGCATCCGCTCGTGTCTCGCCCTCATATGCGACTTGCTCCAGACCACACACACACTCCTCGACTTCCACGTCCCTCTCACGGGTCATGCAAGGCGACTGCTACACCACCAAACAATATTAAATCATCGTCCGACCTCTGCTGCCTTCATCTCTCCCTCCCTCCCCCCCCCTCTTCTCTCTCCTTCCCCTCTGTGCCAGCAGCTCAATGTCGCCTCTCGTCCTCCCCATTTTCCCCTACAAGTCGTACTCTTTCGGGTCCGACATGGCGCTGCTACGGCGCATGCGCTCGGCCAGCGGCAGCGAGAAAAACAGCGGCATCTTGTTCTGCAGCACGGGGCGGATCTCACTTCCGTGCACGTTGTCAAACTCGGATGGCCGCAGCTCGGGCTCGAACGTGCTGTCGACTTCGCTGCCGCCAAAGATCAGGAACGACACGTGCAGCGGATCCCGATTCGACTCGACGCCACTGCACTCAATGGCGTCCAAGAGCTCCGACACGTCCGTCGGCGACTGCTTTGCCTGGACAAACGACGCAGTAGCCTTTGGCTCGGACGGGTTCGGGGGGTCATCTTCCCTGTCAACTGCCTTCTTCTTGTCCTGCTTGACGCGCTTGTGGCTGTTCACGGGCTTCTCTTCCATGAGCGGACACACAGACGTCAGCGTCTCGCGCTCTTGATACAGCAGCGGGTCACTGACCTCGAGAGGGATCTCCGGCATCGACTGCCGGTGGGAGCCGTAGATCCACTGCGTCATGCGGTTCGACGACGCGTCGCTCGCGAGCGGCGGCCGCACGAGGAGATCGTCTCCGTCGCTGCACTTGCGCTTGAAGAAGCCGCCCACGGCGCGGATGAGGCCGCGGTGCTTCTTCTTCTTGGCAGTGGCAGTGGCAGTAGCGGTAGTCGTAGTATTGTGAGGAGGTCCACAAGCTGCAGGCGGAGGAGGACTTGTGGCGGCGGGCACGGGCGGAGGCGGCGCACGTGACGACGAGAACGTCGCGGCGGAATCGGCGAGTCGCGACATGAAGAAGACGCGTGCGACTTGACGTGTGGGCAATCAATAGGGACACGCGCTTCAGCTTCAGGTTCTGCGTTTCCGGAAAACGCGTCGCGGACTTCTTTGGCGCTTGGGCTCTTTTGGTCGTCTTCTTTTAGGCCCAACGAAGGACGAACGGACGGACTGTGTGGAAGCAGTCGAGTCGGAGAGTGACGACTGTCTGTCTGCTTGGCCGGTCTTTTTTGCACAATATGTCGCTCGGGGGGCGTTGTTGAGTAAGTAGCGCGACCGACGCGCGGGGCGCGTGAGGACCGCGCAGGGTGGCAACTTTATCAAAGCAAGGGACAAAAAATCAATCCCAGCTGCGAAGCGGCTGCGTCGTGTGCTTTTTCTTTCTTGCGCTTCTTGCGTCTTTACACACAGCAGAACGGGAGGCGGCGTATTTCCATACTGGAGGCGGCTGGCGGAGGGAAATCGTGTCGCAGCGGTCCAGAAACAAAGTGCTGCGAATCAGGACACATATCGCGTTCGTTCGTTCATTCATTCGTTGTTGATGTTGTTGTAAGGCACTTGACAGATAGAGCACTCTGACTTGCGAGAGGCGACTACTGGTTGCGTGCGAGAGACTGTGTGGAAGTCACGGATTGGTGAGACGGACGAGTGGCGTCTGTAGCATCGCCGTGCGGTACTCCCACCCCATACAGGACACTCTGTCGTCGTTTTTAGGATAGCGCGAGTCGTCCAGTCGGACTCACTTGTCCATGCAGTTCTGTTGCAAGGGCGATCAAGTGGGGCCTTGTGGCCACGGCTTTGTGGCCACGGCTTTGTTGCGACCATGTCCACTTTGTGTGCGAGCTGTATGCCGCTTGTGCGCTTGTGTCCCACATTGTCGCGGTCAGCAGAGCTTTTCCGTGGCAGGAGGCGCCGAGAGCACAGCCAGCGAAGCGACGAAAGCTAATCGCCATCCGCCTGAAAAAGTTTGACAACACATCAGATCATGTTGAAGAAGGTACCAAAAGGCCCTCGACGTGTTGGTGGAAGTGGAGAGCATCGAGAGCCAATGAGCACGAGAAGACCGACGACGGGGGAAGCGTAGCACGAGCACTGGGAGACTTGTCCTCTGGTCCTCCGTATCCTTTTCTTCTCCTCTGTCGTCACCTCCTGGTTCATGTCCTTGAAGTCCGTGCACTTTTCTCAGTCCAGTGATGCGCCAAGTCGATGCCTAACAGGTGACTCGGACGCACGGGATAGAGATTCGTTCTCATGCGCACTGAACGTCATTGCAATGTGCTGCAGCCATCGGACCGCCTTTGTGTGCGACTTGTAGTTGTGTTCCGAGTCAGGAAGCGCACTCGTGATGCTTTCGACGCTATTGCGAAACCAATAAGTCGTTTTCCGTCAGGATCAACACTTTGCTTTGAGCCTGAAGACGCGAGTCGAACATGTTCCTATTCAGTACTCACTTCACGCTGTCCCAACCGGTCGGATGGATCGCTCGCTCGCTGACCGACCGCACGCCATCTTCTTCGAAGTCAGACGGTATTGCTCTGGACGACGTGGAAGCGTCTAGGGCGCACGGCCATGTGCTGGTGTCCAAGCCGCATGGCCGTGTGTGGTGTATATGTATACGTGGCCCTGCATGGCGCCGAAGTGCGACTCTTTCATGCACGAGGTGAGACGCTCGTTCTCTCGCAACGATTGGCGCCACGCTGAATCACACTGCATTGCCGCGAGCTGAGCCATGTGCACAATGTACGTGCAGTCATTACGACGGCGCAGATGGAGGAAATATACCATGTGGTCGCCATGCGCAACGCAAACGCACAGGTGCTCCCCGAACGTGCTCAGCGGTTTACTCACGGGAGGACAATTGACAACCGTCGTCATACCTGAGGAAGTAGTGGGGGGAGGGGCTGTTGATGCGACAGCTCTGACTGTGTTTTTGGCCGCACGACGGCTGGCGGCCGGTCTCGTGCACGTGCGCGTCATATGTGCATCGTAAAGTGAGTGCTGCATCGGCTTCTAGCGTGCGGTGGGTGTCCAGTTGGAGAACTGCTTTCCACCATCTACAGCAGTAGCAGCAGCAGACGCCTTCATCGAGACCAATTGTCCATAAGCAACGTCATAAGAACACACATTCGGGTGGCTGAGCGTGCAGTCCCGAGACCGTATCGTCGGTACGTACGATCGCATCGTCGTTTCTTCGATCTCAATCGGTGCAACCACTGCCTTCACCGCAACCACTTGCGTTGGCACACAGACCCGAAGAGAAGTGTACGGCATTTGAAAATCGGACCTGCGCTCTCCTACACACTTGTCGGCATTGTCGGATGGCAGGAGCGAGGAGCGAGGAGCGGCTCGAGTGCCATAGACGTCAGTCATGTAAATCGTCCGTACGCTCGATTGACTGCTGTAGAAGCATTCAGATACGCAGCCGTCGCGTAGACCGCGTCATGATTCGCTATGACTGACTTGCGTGGGTCGTTCGATTAAGTTGGGTTGCGCAAGTAGCTCAGACGCTGAGGCGCGTTGTCTGGAATCGAGCATATGTGTGGAGTCGACGGCCATTGCCGTTCAGCTCTCTGACGTCAGGTGGGCTTTGGCTGTAGCAGTGCGTGGCAACAGCAAATGGCTGGGCAAGACGTCGATAAGTCATTGGTTCGTCGGTCCATATCCGTTGCTTCGAAGTGTTTGTAGTGGCAACGAATGCGTGACAGGGGCGACACACGCACAAGCCGACTATTCGGCACGCAATGACGTCGCATGGACCCGCTATCGACTTGGCATGATACCAGGACATGAGAAACGATGCACACTAAACTAAGACTACCTCACTTCACCGCCTTACAACACGGACTTGTTGTGAGCTCAACAAGCTCTTGTTCCACGTGCGCAGCTTCATCATTGTCATCGTCCACGTCATAGTCAGCTAAGCACAGAGTCTGCCTCCTTGGCCATGCATGCGTCAGGACTTGATCACGCATGTCCAGCTTCGGTGCGATGGTGCATTGGCCCATACTGTGTGCGCACAATGGTGAACCAGTCGTACTGGAATCGCTTTTGCTTTCCACTGGATGGCCGCTGCTGACACGCGCCACACACTTTGCCAGCGCCCGAGCTCTGTCTGTATGACGTGTCGCCGGTATATTGAGGTTGCACGTAACGCGGTCTCACTCTCTCGCCAGCGTCGTCTCCACAGTCTGTGGGACACGCACGTACACTTTCTGAGACCGAGCCACAAGCGTACCCACCGACCGTCCGCTTCGCTTCGATGGACGAGCCACTTACAATCCATGTCCCCCGTGTCCCGTCGCGGACAAATATTCACTGCAGCAGACGGCGCTCTCGGCCGATGGACTGTCAAGTCTATCGTGATAGCACAAAAGTGGCTGCGAAGCTGCGAGCGTTTGCTAGTGGCGGCAATAGCGATAAATGCGTTGTACGATCGATGCTGGAGAGAAGGCACAGTAGGAACGCCGTAGCAACGGCAGTCGCAGTGTAACAAGCAGTCGGTCCATCTCTCTACGAAGTCTGCTCGACCCACACGGGACTGCGATTGCCCTCTGCTCTCAATTGTGGCGTTGTTGTTGTTGTTGTTGTTGTTGTTGTTGTTGTTGTTGTTGTTGGGTCCACGCATAGAGTCAGTCCCTTGGGTGCACCCACCTGCGCTCTATCCAGGATGGTCATGATCCTTTCACACCCATGACGAGCTCTTGGAAACAGCTGACAACGACGAGCTGCATAGGCACCTGCCCGCGCAATGGCCCAATAAGCCGTCCGACAAGCAGAGAGGAGAGACAGCAAACTGTTTGTGCTCTTGTTCCCAAGCGGGAGAGTTGGCGTCGCTTTCCGCCGCAGACAGTAAAGACACGACAACACACACACACACACACTCACACACTTACTCACACACACACACACACACACACTGCAACAACATAACATCGCAGGCGACAACTCCTTCGCCCACGTGTGTCCGTGTGGACGTGTGCGTGTCGTCTTCAGTGTCACGTGCTATCCACAGTCGCATTTTGACGCTCTCTCATTGCTCAACATGGGCGTGTCGGACGTCCTCTACACAATTGGGCACTTCCTCTGTCGGCCGTTTGCCGACTGCTCGAGCTGCTGCGACGTGCTCGACCGCCACTACTACTACAAGACATCGCCTGGCGGGCACACGAGTCCCCAAATGTTCAACCGCTGGCCGACCGACGTCAAGCACACTGCGAAGCGGTCGCGACCGCTGCCGTCACGTCCGCCCGTGTCGAAGACGCACGTGGGCGTGACGAAACGCTCGACGTCCTCGAGCTCACGCGCTCGCTCCGAGTCGTCTTCGAACAACCCGTCGTCGTCCAACTACGACGACGATGACGAGCGGGACCGACACGTGCAGTTCCTGTTCTACGGCGGGAGCGACCCGCCGACACCGACGTCTAGAGGCGGACTTGCGTCGGTGGGGTACCGCAGCGACCTGATCTCCGACACGGGCAGTCGGGCACCGATCCAATCGCCGCAGATCAACCGCGAGATCCCGTGCTTCTTCTCGCCCCGGCAGACGCCGCGGTCGTCACTGTCGATGTCCATGTACTCGCCCCACGTGTTTAAGATCACTGAGCACCAAACACGACGCAACGCTCGGTACCGAAGTATGCGGAGCTTCCGGTGAAGGTGCCGTGTGTGTGGATGTGTGTGGATGTGGATGTTGGATAGTACCAATCGCACACTCTCACTGCTACAACACCAACAACAACAACAACAACGACGAAGACGACGACCTCTACCTCCACCACCTTCTAGTAGTAATCTATCACCAGCTCCAACTGTCCATTAACGTATCAATGTCAGTCTGTCTAGTTCGGTCCATGCGTCGGCGTTGTCTCCTCCTGCTCTCCTTCTTCGTCTTTGTCGCTGTGGTCATTCATTCGCCTGTTTCGTCCCGATCCATGCGATTCATTGACTCGCTCTTCCCAGCGCTGCTGCGCCACAGACGTTCGTCGTGCGCTTTGCGCCGTCATCAATCGCTCTCGTTGTTGACTCGCGCCCCACCTCTTCCCTTCCATCGCTCTCTTTTCTGCACTCGTCGCTTGCTACGCCTACCGACGCAACGAACGACCTGCACAAAGGGCCAACTTTCACGACTTTTCGCTCAAGATCGTTCCCGTCCCGTTTGCACAGCCCTCTTGGAATTTTCCGCGCACGTTCGCGCATCCGGCTATCGCCCCCCCCCCCGCACCGGATATCCCACTCGCATGGAACAGTCTATCCATCCATCCAGTCAGGCCGTCGTACAGTAGCTGTGCGAGCAAACGAGCCACTCGATCGTGGCGTACCGGTCGTACAACTCCCCCCCATCTCGAGCCTCTCGCCACCTGCGCGTCACACGAGGCCGTAACGCCACAACAACGACGACGGCCATACTCAAAGGCAGACAAACACTGACGTCTGTCGAAGAACAGTACTCTCGCGGACCACAGGTCGCATCGAGACGGAACGACCAAATACCGAGTGCGGACAAAAGACATCGCGTGCGTACAACAGTCGTCGCGTGCGTCCAAAAAGCGACCAGAAGGGACACACACAATGCAGAGGAGGTCTGTGAAGGGCAGCAACGCCCATGAGCTCTGTCGCCGGACGCGACGCCCACCGGGATGGGCGACCAGGTTCAACGAGCCGCCCACGCGCTTGTTTCCCGGCGCGAGCCAGTGCACGACCGGCTCCGCGCTGGCTCACTGCACCCCAAGCGGCACACGCAGAGAGGTGTGTTGTTCACCACGTGCGACTCGTATCGTTCCGTGCAGAGTGCAGTGTGCACTGCAACTCATTCCCCAATTCGACCGCTCGGCTTCAACCAGAGCGCACCTCTCTCTCTCGTCTCGCTCGTCCCTCTCTGTCCTCTCCACAATGCGAGCGTTCATGCGGGCCATTGGACTCGGCAGCTTCTGTCGTCAACCGTCGACTGCTGCAGCAACAGCAGCTGCGTCTTCCAGGACGTCTACTGCGCCAGCTGCGCACGGCTGTCGCGCAAAGCTCCTCAAGCGGAAGAAACGCACGGGCCATCGCTCGCGCGGCGCGCTGTTGACTCGATGCAGCACGCGCTTCAGCTCGCAGGCCGAGCAGTCGCAGTTTCTGCTCTTTTGCGGGAGCGACAACACGTCGACGTCGCCCGCCGAGTTGGTCTCGTCCGACGGCAGTACATTGGCGTCCCGCTTTGCTCAGCTCCAGTCGCCTACGGCTGCTCAGCCCGCGCTGGACCGCCACATGCCCGTGTTCTTCATGCCGCCGCTCGTTGCGGAGCTCCCGTCGTCTTGTCGACGACTGTGAGAGCCTGACGACGTCTGTCTGTCTGTCTTCGTTCTCGTTGTTGAAGCTGCGGTTGATGCGGCACTGACCTGAAGACGGTGCTCGACTTGCTCGAATGACGATCGCAGTGATGCGTCACATCTTCTGCGTTGGCGACTGAAGCCAGCGCGAGTGAAAAGCCATTGGCCGCGTCACGAGCCTGTTACTATTTATTCGCAAGAGGCCGTCACGATCAGCCGCCCGAGCGATCGAAGCTCCGGTAGCTGAGGTCTCATCGTTTCGACGACAATCACGCGTCGCTTGGATGTCGTAGCTTCCCGGTTGGCTGTCGACATGCCACCTTAAGTCTTCGGGGTCCGGCAGTGGATGCCAAGATGGACGTCATGACTACTGTCGTGGCCATGCGATTCCTCACTGGAAAGGAACGCTGCTGCTGCTGTCCCACGTGCTTTCTGCCGATGATATGTCGCTCTGTAGTGCAGTGTTAGCCGTCGAGAATACGCCATGAAGCAATAGGAGTATCTTGGCCTGAGCTTGTAGACGCGCACGATAACATTGGAAGCTGTGCACAAAAGACAGAGTGAGTTTATCAGTGGACCGCGTCAGTTATTCATCTCGTTGTTTGTGGTTGTACTGCCAATGAGCCGTGACAGTCTGGTGAGCGAAACGCGACGTTGTCGAACCGTAGCCAGCTGTGTCTCACGTACAACTGTTCAGACGGCCGCACGGAACTCGTCTGCCATGAACGCTGCACACGATACGAAGAGCTGCCGTCTCAACTGTCTCAAGCGCGTGGTCTCTTTGCTGTATCACGACAAATAGAGTATCACCCGTTCAACCCATCAACAGCTTGACGCCGTGTACCGTATAATTCTTCTTCACCGTGTTACCGTTCGCAGCGTCAGTGTAGCCGCTGCTTCTGATTGTCTCAACTCGTGCTCGGGCAATGAAGCGCTTGGTATCTACTGAAAGAGCTCCGGTGTCTGCTCTTCCACGTACAGCAGAGTCGAGTTCACCTTCTTCTCCCAGCTGTCGAGGCGCGTCACGAGCTCCTGGAGCTGCGCGTTATCCAGCACGCGTGGCTGCACCCATGTCACCCGCACGATGCCGTCCACCTGGTCAATCGAGCCCTTGATCAGCTTGCACGACAGGGCGCGCATCACGACCCACTCGACTTGATCCAGTGGCAAGCGCGTCGCTTCGGCAATCTCACGGAACGGAATGTTGCGCTCGTGCGACGGACGCTGGAACACCAGCACCATCAGTGCCAAGAGAGCCACCTTCTCCTTTACGTACTCTTGCTTGGTCACCAGCGCCGGCTGTGCGTTGAACTCCTTGCTGTTCTGCCCTACAATTTCGTTGAACTGGTCAATGTCACCCTTGTTGAACGCGTGCAAGAGATCCGAGAGCCACTGCTTGTCCGTGTTCTCCAACGCACGGAGAATCGGGGTCGCCAGCTGTGCACCACCATCAGCAACACCAATAGCAGCAGCAAAGGAGGGGTCAGTTCAGCTCATCACTACTCACCTCAACCAGCCACAAGCACTCAACAGCCCATCGTACCACTTCGCCAAAGTTAAACACGCCGTCGCCAGTGAGCGCCGCAATGCTAATGTTCACAGCCAGATCGAAACGCTCTTCGGGACGCATGTCGTCGTACTGCGTGTACGCCAAAAACATGAGAGCGTTCTTGTAAAACTTGTCAGCCGGACCCAACGCGCTGTAGTAGTCGCACGCCACGCGGTAGTACGCAGCGTGTACAATGGGCTCTGCACCCACGAGACTTTCAATCACGTGCTTGTTCTCATCGATTGTGGCTTTTACTTCCGCAAGAAAGTCCACGCCACGACGGAATTTGAGCAGCGCAATCTGCATGGTACAGAGCAGCACAGCTTCGTGTGCTGTCTTGTTGCTCAATTGACCGAGCAGCTGCTCCATGAACGCTTGTGCCTTGGCAGGATCTACAGAGGTCGTACAAAACACCAGTTGTACAACGAGCACACGGTTAGTTTACCATCATTGCATCGCTTTTTGCGTGACCCAAAACTATACTTTACCGGCAAATTGGGTACTAATTTCACTGCAGATGCTCACGAGTCGGATCTGGTTCAGTTTGTCCTGGAACGTGCGAATGAACTCCTGGTACAGCTTCACCAGGTTCAGCGGGTACTTGTGCGTCATCGGGTCGCGCACGAACGCCTCGAGCGCGCCAGTAAGTTCATGGTAGAGCCTACGTTCAGGGAATAAACAACACCGCCCACGTCGTGAGGGACTGCAATCATTGGGCAGCAAAGAGCCCAAACTGACTACTAGTTCTCACAGGTTTCGTGGCAAGTAAACTAAAGGAGCACCACATGCACACGTACTTGCGCGCGTGGAGATCTTTCAGCTGCTGATAGCGCGGCGCAATGTCCGGGTACGCAGCTTGTTCGGTCGCGAGAAAGTCCGTCATTGTCGTCGTCGTCGTCGTCGTCGTGTAAAGATCGCGACAGGGGGGAGATCGAAGCTCAGATCCCGTGCGCGAAAAGATGGCGAGAGCAGTCGCAAGTGATGGACAGTTGGTGTGTGTGTACGAACGAGAAGCGCTTGCGGCGCGCTTGAGTGGATGATGTATGCGTTTTCACAGGATACCACAACTCGCAGGGAACAGAGCTCCTCGCGCGTGTTTGGGCTCGAGACGACTTGTCGTCCATTGCAGTGCGATATATACCTTTGTAGTTGATGTTGCAAATGACACGGACAGAATCGAGTGGCACAAGTGCGACGACACCCGAATACGGTGGAAGGCTACTGGGCCAAAAATGAATTCATCAGTCACTCAACTACTTGCAGCGCGTCTCGAGTCGACAGGCGCTGTCGCTATGAAACAAACACGTTGTTAGACGACCAAGACGGGATCATTGTCACCTGGAGAGCGTGTGCGAGGACTGACAAAACGCATCCGCTCGCTCGGAGCTACGGACAGAGCACGATTGGAATTGTTGTCCAAACCAGGCAGTCTACCGTTGTTGCTGGTGGTCGGGTGGCTCAACTCGTGTCTCCTTGTTACCACGTGGCGACGACTGGGCGAAACGAGCACTGTCGATTTCGACTCCGACGTCCTTGGAGTCGACGTTGCTGCGACTGCTGCAGTAGTCGCAGCATCTCCGTCTCGGGCTCCCGTGCTTGATTCAGTTGCAACGGACGACAGCAGTGCAGGAGGAGACTCAGACGCGAACGTGAAGCCCGGGTGCTCCAAGTACGGCTGAGGCTGCGACGGCATCCCTTCGTTAGGATCTACAACCGGCAGGGGAGGAGGCCAGTCTTCAATGATATGCCGGATCGACTGCGCGTTGCGAGACTGGAACCGCGTCAACAGCTTCCGCGCCGACTTCACCGAAATGTCGGGCAACTTACGCAACGCTGCAGCCTCTACGAGTCGCATGAGCTCGTCAAATGTCATGAGCACGCCCAGCTCTGCGTGGGCTACCACGACACGCATGATCCCGGCCTCGTCGCTGGGATGGAAGTACCTGTCAGTGCCATTGGCGTGACTACCCTGTGCCCGTTTCTTCACGCGTCGATGCAGTGCTGCAAAGTGCACGCCGTACATCTTGGCAGCGGCCCGTAGACTCATCCCTCGCTGCTCTACTGCGGCAATGGCCTTTTCCCATGTCTCGGCCGGCACGGTGTGGCTCAGTTTGTAATTGCGCTTGCAATTGTACGAAGATGCGTTGGACGCCAGGTCCTGCATGTCGTCCAAACTTCGACCGCTTTCGCTGATCCCCGGTCGAAGATGCGGCAGCATGCAGCTCTCGTCGGTTCCATTACCAGGTCCGACGTCGGCGTCGTCGCCGTTCATCCGGTAACTCATCGTCGCAGTTGATCCTCTCTCGCTGCTCAGGTCTTCCCAACTCAACCGGTGTCGTCTCTCGTCCAATGCCGCTGCAGACTCACTCGTCCTGGGCATCGGCCACCCGTTGACGACTGCACGAGGATAGTCATCAGCGATCCGCGCCCGACGCTGTTGCGGCGATTGGTGAGGGTACGCTCGATGGCACGGACCAAAGTATTGTGGCTGCGGCGGCTGCTGTGCTTGCCCCTCACCATCAACTGGTGCTCGAGGGCCCGAGTAGGCCATCGCTGTCTCGGACAGCATTGGCAGCAACGAGCCACCGCTGTCTTCGTCCAGCTCCTCGTCCTCCTCGTCTTCGTCGCTGCTCGCCTCACCGTGTGCCTCACGAATGCTGGAGCTGTCTCCATTACACATAGACATACTACCGTTGTAGTTGTAGTTGCTGTGGTCGTCGTCGTCAATGTCGTCAATGTCGTGGTCGCGGTAAACGTGGTTGTCGTTGCTACTACTACTTGTTGCAGCACCAGGGGCTCTCTCACTATCGACATGTGGCTCTGCTCGGAGCAGTGGTCGGGGTCGTGCTGCCACAAGTGCTTGCGCGTGTGCCTGAGCTTGCGCTTGAGCCTCAGCCTCAGCCTGAGCTTGCGCTTGGGCTTGGGCTTGTACTGGACGCAGCGACGTCCTCTCGAGTCGCTTGGGCAGCCCAAAGCCCGCGCGTCCGCCTCGTCGAGCCACCGTGGCCTCAAACGTAAAGCTATTGGGCTGCACAAAGCCATGCTGGCGCTTGAACGCGAGCACCCAGCGAGACGGGGGAAAGTCGGACGGGATGGTCGTGGTACCGCGGCCACTGGCTACCGTGCGCACGGCAAGGCGCACGTCGTCCGTCGTGACGCGCTGCTCGTGGCCGAGCTGGGCATTCAAGAGCCGCAGGACCTCGCGCTCAGCCGCTTCGCTCAAGTAGCGGCGCACGCTGACGTCGGACCCCCCTGCTCGTCGGACCCCCCGTGCGCGCTGGGCTTCATCCAGTCGAGCGAGCTGGGGCTTGAGCGTTTTATGAAATGCTGCCAAAGTCGGACGTCGTTCGACTTTTGCCTTCGGTGGCGCTGGCTTGTCACGGGGGCTGATCGCTCGGATTGAGGGGCAATCATCTATGACAGGGTATGCTGCGGGAAGAAAAAGAGCCGACCACTATCAACGACCACCAGCCCACACACGAGGTGCGACCTGCAATGGAAGAAGGACGCACTGTCAAGTCTAGCGGTCGTTTGTATCGGAATGGTGGACCTATCCCGAGCAATGTTCGTTTCGAGCAGGTCAGGTGGCCGAGGATAAGAACTCGCGCTCGTGGGGTTTTTTGGCCGCGAGAGAGAGAGAGAGAGAGAGAGAGAACGCGTCAGACATGGCGACTTTTTACGAGCGAGCACGGGTGTCGGACGTGCGACTTTTTACCCCGCGGTCGGTTAAATGGCGGTCTGTTGGTTCTGCGTGCAGTGCGCGCAGGTTGGGCGAGTGGAGAAACTGTTGAGGACGTGGACCGCCCAGACGGACCGCGAACGGTTGCGGCGGCTGTTGAGGCGGTCGCCACGACGAAACCACCTGCGTTTCAAGGCCATTGTTATGACTTTCAGAAATTGTCCGACCACGAAAAAGAAAAAGACCAGGCAGCAGGAAGGGGGCTGCCGAATCGTACCACGCGCTCGCACGAATGTGTCCGACGTCCGTCCGAAGACGCCACGACGACCTGCGTGGCGGCGCTGGTCGAGCAACACGTGTTCTCTCTCGTTTGCAACGGCGAAACGAACGACCGCTTGTCCTCCGAAGCGTGTCCCGATGTCCGCCGGGTAGTAGACGCGCACACCGTTGCGAGTCGTAGAGGTACCACGACCATCTCGTCCGACTTTCCGCTGTCTCGTTGGGTATGCGCGTGCAAGCGCCTGCGTGGATTACGTTGCGACCCAATGAGCGTTTTTACGGCGGATGTAGTCGGTGTGCTACTGCTGCTGCTGCTTCTTCTTCTTCTTCCTGTAGGTCACCTTCTCTCATGTAGTGTACGACGACCGTCTTCTTGACGTCTGCAGCGCGTGTGCTGCCCACGTGATTCGGTTTCAGTCCAGCGAAGGCTGTCGGTCCATTGATAGAGGCTGAGCGCGTGTGCTGCTACGATTGTGACCTGATTCATATCACCGGCAGGAGAGAACGGGCCATTGAGAGAGGGAGGGAGAGAAAAAGCACCGTGCAGTCACACACACACACACACACTGGTCCGAGCCTTCGTTCGTACAATGGACTGGAATCACCTTGTGGAATGCATTGCGGATATCAAACGAGTCGGCTTTTGACAGCAAACAACAACGTGCGACTGTCGGTCGCTCTATTCCACGTGCGTAAGCGGGATCGGGAAGCACGTGCAGCCGACCCGACGTTCCAGAATGTGCCAGGCAGGTCGGCAGCAAGGGGCTACCGTGGGATCGAGCGAGGCTTACAAGAACGCAGGACGATGCAAGACGTGAGCTGCTGCTTTTTGTACCGGTGATTGGGCTACGTAAGACTGGATGAGTGTTGCAGTTGATCGAACATCATGCACTGCAAGTCGTGAGGCAGGCTTCTCACTGCAAGCAGTCAGCAAGAACAGAGCCAAGGAGGATCGATGAGACCGCATGCGATCAACTGCTGCTACTGCGTACACTCCATGATCGTCTGTTGTGGCTCTCTCCTCTACGCACGTGTGGACTGAAACTGCAGAGGAAGCGCGTGTTTATCGTGTCGAGAGCATCCTGAACGATGCGGAAGATTCGCGCGAAACAAACGTGTTTATGCCCACACCTACGATCGAGCAGGAGCTGACATCCTTGAGCGTCGCGTGAATAGTCCGTCGACGCAAACTCACACAAAGAAGCGTGATAGACTGCAACGATCCGACTGGATTTGGCGACCATTCCAGCTCCAAGGCAGCGGTTTCACTTCCAGCTATCCATTCCTTGGATGGCTGTCAGTAGTCTCTCACGCTCCACTGCCATGGCAGTGTAACATTTGCTTTGCTGAGATGGATTGACGACGAGAGCATAATCATCCGAGCACATCAAGATCTTCGACGAAGCCACCGTAACAGCGTATGTCGAAAAACATACGTTGATCACCGGTGATGAGTGCGACAGACCGAGACAAGCTGCCTCGGATGTCCTTCCAGAAGGCGGAAGGGAGCATTGCACCATTCGTCAAACGCGTCCGCGAGCAACGTGTTGTGCGTGCTGTCTTGGTGCCGCAACTCACTTTGTCCGACAACAGCGGAGCGTGCCAGAACTTTGCTACGCGTCGCTATGTTTACAAGCCAGCATCATGCCGTGTGCTCCTTTTGCGCTGACAGATCTGTCCTCTGTCTTCATGTCAGCAAAGACCTCGTTGACAGACTCGTGCAACATGAACACACGTCTTGCAGTCAGAGTTTCTTGAACAATGATGGCAATTGTTTCGTACGTGAGGCTGAGGACTGACTCGACAAAGGCAACGTCAAGCCTGACATTACGGTACTCACCGACGTTCACGATCGCTGGTTGTCAGTGCAAAGCCAAGAGAGGCTGACCGTAGCTAGGATGATGGCACAATCGAAGCACTTTCGGTGTACATTACTGTACGTCTCAGGCGGTGTATCAGAGACCATCTTCATTACTGTACGTCGAACGCAACGTGCAGCAGAGACTGACAACGACATCACTACGAAAGACTATCGTCATCAGCAGAATGACTTGACATTCGTCACAGACACATCTGCATTTTCGACCAGCGTCATCCGCAACATCAGGTGAGGTCTGTTTGTCACATGGCGAAACGAGCCCAACACTGACGAGTTTGACTGCAAAGGAATCGCTACTCACAGCTATACATTGTACCATTGCGCCCACAACGCACCGCACGAGCACTGCTCTTTCTCTCCAGCTTCCCATCACTACTGACTCTCTTTCTGCGTTACTCCAGTCAGCAAACCGTCAAGCCCGGCCCACCCACTTGACGCGTCCTCTCTCTTGTCGCGTAGAGACCGACACTTATGCAGGCGCAAAACGCGTCCAACCCGACACTACGGTCCACACAAAACAAAGCCGACCACACCACCTCCACCACTCCGTCGCCACAAAGCCGAAATTTGTGAAAACACCGGGTGCTGCCATCATTTCCGTACAGTCAGCCCATCACCCCCTTCGGTCTTCGCGGGCGCACGACTCAGCGCATCGGCTTGCATCATTTTGGCCAATCATACCGCGTTGCACGTCAACCGCGCCGTCGACACGACTGTGCCTCGCCTGCTTCCCGCCATGTTCACGCCGGACGCGACGTCAAGCGGCAGCCTCGAGGCGCGCCAGCGCGTCGCGCAGCTGCAGGCTGCAACGAAGCAGGTGATTGCGCTCCGCCGTGTCACGCGCAGCTCGTACTGCGACCACTCGGGCTGGGGCTACAAGCAGGGGCGGATCATCAAGACGTGGAAACGCCGGTACTTTGTGCTCAAAGGGCGCGAAGTGATTTACTTTTCCGAGCGGTCGCCCAGCGGCAAAGGCATTGACGAGAAAGGGCGATTTTGTATCAACGGCGTCGAGTATACGGTCGAGTATCCGAATGCACTGATCGTTCGAGGCGAGCTCAAGAACCAAGTGATGAAGATGCAAGTGGACTCGAAGGACGAGAGCACTGAGTGGTTTGACAAGATCTCGAGCGCGCTGCAGGCCGGGCACGGCACGCACGTGGCGACACACGACGTGCCCGGCGCTCCAGGTGCAGGTACTGCCGTGGCGATGAAAGGCTGGCTCTTGAAAGAAGGACAGAACTTTAAGACGTGGAAGCGACGGTACATGACGCTACGGGGCCGCGTGATCCAGTACCGCGCCCAGCTGGATGAAAAACCGCTGGGCGAGACGCGGGTCAATGCCGTTAACATCAACGTGGCGCGACCGTTTGCACTGGACATTTACTCGGACAACAACCGCATTTTGAAGATTGCTGCCGACTCGTTTGCCGAGATTGAAGCGTGGGACCACGCACTGGCGACAGCTATTGGCAAACTCCCTTGCTTTGGCGATCCGTATGCTGGACAGATTGCGCCGTTTCTTGGCGAGACGTTTGAAGAGAGTGTGTTGTGTGAAGGGTGGCTGTACAAGCGAGGCCAGCGGTCCACGGAGTGGCAACGACGGTATTTCAAGCTGAAAGGGTTTGAGCTGCAGTACCAAGACGGACCTGGTGAGAGTGTGCCAAAGGGCGCGGGCACTGTGGTGGGGCTGAAACTGGGCGAGACGGGATCGAACTCGGTGTACGTGCAGCTGGAATCAGGTCGCGTGCTGTGTATAAGTGCTGACAGTCAAGACGCTGTGGACAAGTGGGTGCACGCTATTTGTACGTTGCTGGATAAGAATCCCGGGACGCTTGAAAAGGAAGTTGCGACACCGGCAGTTGCAGCCAGCAAGGGTGCGAGCATTGGTAATCGGCTAACACGCGCACTCAGTCGAGGTGGTTCTGGTATAACAGCGCCGCCAGCGTTGCCGGTCAATCAAGAAGGCGCTAGAAGTATCAACGGACGCAAGTTGAGTCTCGCGTGTGCAAGTGCTAACCCGGGCAGCTGTGACGACGTCGCGGGGAGCGACGACAGCAGATATGGCGGTTTGCTTTTGCACGAATCTCCCGACGATGTTTTCGCTTCACTTGGTGCTGGCAGCGCTTCGGCGTTAATCGATCCGCGGCCTTCCGTGACCGGTCTGAATCGAAAGTGCGGATGGCTTCGCAAAGAAGGCGCTCGTGTCCGCTCACTGAAGCGCCGTTACTTCATGGTCGATGGCAACAAGCTGTACTACTTCGAGCAAATTGGTGAGGCGCCGCGCGGAAATGGCGTTGTGAAGAGTGCTGTTCCCAATGATGCGTATCCGAACTGCCTGGATCTCATCCTGACATCAGGCCGCACGTTGCGCGTAGTGGCGGAGTCTTCGGACGAGATTCGGTCGTGGCTCGATCATTTTAGCGAGTGTTGTTTGTTGGGCGATGGCGAAGAAGAATGTCGAAGTGCCACAGAGAGGCTATCAATTGGTGCAGGTGGGGATGATACTGCATCTAGCGTGGTCGAGACGGGTAGTGGCTGGCTACTGAAGAAGGGCAAGAACTTTAAGAACTGGAAGCGCCGCTTTTTCAAGCTAGAGGGCAAGCAGCTGTCGTATTCGAGTGCGCCGGATGCTCCGCCTCTCGGACGAGGCGTAGTTGCCAACGTTGGACTTGGCAATGACCGGCCATTCTGTCTGGACGTTCGCTTTCAGAATGGCCGCGTGATGCACGTTGTTGCAGGTAACGAGAGTGTGATGGTGGCCTGGAATCGTTTGTTGCAAGCTGCTGTACTGACAGAGCCGGTCGAAAGCGACCTGGAGCAGGACACGCAGTTTGACTTTGACGATGCTGAGGAGGATGCACATTTGGACAACATGCACACCCTTGTGACGGCTGCCACAGCTTTCAGGCGTGGCTTGTCAAAGGCGTCGTCGACTGTTAGCGCAACGTCGAATGATGATGGCTGCAAACGGCGAGCCGAGCTGACGGTACGACCCGTGCGTAAGAGCGCGGAGGATGAGGTGAGGCCGACGAACGAACGAGCGGGGGCAGCAGCTATGGTGGGAGTAGATCGGCGGTCACTTCCTTTGGGTAGTGCTGATACAGAAGAACCAGTCGTGTGCAGCGGGTGGCTGCGAAAAGAAGGCGGCACGGTAAAGAACTGGAAACGACGCTACTTTACTCTGCACGGTACCATCCTCTGCTACTTCAAAAGCGACAATGGCGCGCTCCTGCGCAGCTTCACGGTATGCCACGTCGTGACGTTGCGCACCAAGAAACTATGTTTGGAGATCACAACTGAGGTGGGACGCAAGCTATTGGTGGCCAGCGAGACGCAGGCCGATTTGGATCGGTGGCTGGACCACCTGCATCGTGCCATTGCGGCAGAAAAGCGAAGGAAGCACTGCGACGCTTTACAATGGACAACGGAAGCTCGTGCCACTAGCACGCCGCTAGTATTGCCTGCAGAGGCTTCCAAAGCCGGTAACCTTGCGTAAGAGGCGCTACGACGTGGCGAAGTGATGGGCGACATGGAAGATGCGCGCACCTGCACATGACAATGCGTAATGTGTCGCTGAGCGTTAGCAAACCCCCTGCTTGTGATGATTCGATGGAGACTTTTTTACGCCTGTATGCTGAATGCTGCTGTTGACCGTGGAAGATTGTGTGCACAAGCATCTTGCACGAGATACGATGACCTGCCATTGAAGTCATGGCGAACCGATGGGTCGACAGGGACAGCGCGCGCATACTGACAGGACATTTTCGACCCTCACGACTTCTCCTTGTTTGTTGTCGCTCGTCACTAGAAAGCTACGGAGAAGCGCTTGCATCTATAAGGTCCCCCATCTCGAAACCTGATCGGATGAGGACATTTTTGCGCTGGACGCAGTTCACCTGATACAGCACGGAATGTCTCATTGTCCGAGGGCGGGCGTTGGGGGGGTTCGCGTCTATTGCCATTTAGGCAGAGTCGAACCTGCCAGATCGGGGTGGGCGGGTCCCCCGCGGCCCAAGGGTCGGGCGGCCCCGGCGGGCCCCGCCCGCCGCCGTATGCGGCGCCGGTGTCAGAAATGGACGACACTTTGAGGTCGTAGAGCACGCCTCTGAACACGGCATGTTGCGCTCGGGGCGGAGCGATTGTGTTGGCGGTCAGTAGACAAGCTTATCCTGGAGGATAGTGGACAGCCTCCCATTCTCGGACGTTTGTCTGCATATGATTTTGGTCATGTAACTAAACGCAGTGTATGCAGCAGCAGACAATGCTCTAGGATGATCGATATCGTGAGGTGCTGGACCAAGACTCCGCCACCGCTGGTCACCTGGTACTCGCGGGTATGTTGGAAGCACCGTCTTGCGTCATGGTGAAGCGGTATGGAAGAGCACATTGCAAACACATGACATCGGGTTCTCCTTTGTGATGGTGTGGCTGATGAGCTTTGCTTTGAGGGCCTGGTTGCCTACGTATTGATATTCACACAACGTTGGGATACGTCGGGTCGCTTATGGGCAGGCCAGGTGGAATGTCGCTGAAGGAGATGGTGATGGGTTTGAATATGCAACGCAACCGCGTGCCGTCTGTCGTAATAGAGTGTCAGCTGGATCGAGGTCCGTTCACGTTCTTGGAGTCTCAGCGGGTATGCGACGACGTCCCGGATACTTTTCTGCATGCACTGCGACGATCGGGACGGTCTTTGACGATAGATCTCATCCAGGAAATGCTTCCTCAGCTGTCGCTCTCGAGCTTGCATCGGTTGTTCGCCCGTGCTTTGCGCTTGCAGCGTGCGACTGGTTCGTGCGCAGATGAACTATTGCGCTCTAGGAGTGCCACGTGTGGTTGGTGTTGTCATACAGATCCTTTATAGTGACCGTCATGCGCCTGCAGGCCGCTTTTCGCTGTAGCAGGTATTTCTAGATGCGTGTCACAAGATGATGGTAAAAGGCTTACGAATCCGAGCACCGATCTTCGTTACTGAAGCTGAAGATGGTGGTGTAAGGATCGTCATCATGCGCGCTGATGTCAGGTAAGCGTGCTACCAAATCTGTCGTCGACATCTCAATTGTTTGTAGTATTCATTAACTCACTCGGTTTCATGTATGGCTCGTTGCTGTGATGATGGGTGGCCAGCAAGACCAAGTGCACGGTGCTCGACGACTCGTTGACTCAGGCATGCGATATTCGTCCGTCCGTACGTACGTAAAGTGTTGCCGTTCATGCGGGAGGCGCACATGGCCCGATACTACTTTCGGTGCATGAGGAATAATCTTCGGGCTTGACAACAGGCATACGCGAATACTTCTCCCGAGCGATCGACTGGGAATTGGCGTCGGTTCTTCTGCCATTGCTGGTGCCTGTCGCCCGTTCAAGCGCTTGGCATGCCAGCTTTGCCCAGTCAGCCCGATATGCCAACCAGTAGACACTGAAGAGTCCGCTTGCACCAAAGCCAGTATGAAGTCCAAGCCAGAGGCCCGTGAGGCCCATATCAAGCGGAAAGGCGAGCAGCAGTCCTAATGGCACCGCCAGCAGTATGTAGCACACGAAATTGACGTTTGCTCCAAGTGCTTGCAAGCCGCAGCCACGGAAGATGCCCTGAGTCACGATTGCGATCGCCGCGAAGACCTGCAGTGGACTCATCACAAGCAGTAGGTCGGACGTGACGTTGACGACTTCTTCGTCCCTCGTAAAGGCAAGAGGGAGCACGTCATGGAAAAGCGACATGGTCGCCGACGCCATCAAAGCGCACAAGGCGCCTAGCCCCAAGGCAAGTTTCGCCGCGTGTCGAGCCCGTGCTGGATCATTTGCGCCTAGGGCATTTCCAACTCGCACGGAAGCTGCCAGTGCAATTGCCATGTACCCCAACGCCCCGAGAAATCGAAGATTGAGGTAGTTGGAATCGGCACTGACGGTCGTACGGGCATGAAGGAGCATGCCGGACGAGAGTCCGACTGCTGCGAAGCTCCAGACTTCGTACACAAACATCGCCATGCCCGATACACCCAAGCGTGCGAATCCAGGCATCCGTCGAACAGCTTCAGCAAATTGCCAGCCTGGCCATTCGCGTTGATAGAGATCACTGCATTGCAAGTATGTGGCCAATGCCACCGCATTGCAAAGCATTGCTGCAGACGTGGCCAAAGCTAAGCCGGAGAGCCCAAGTGTTGTCCGGAACATGAGAACATACAGCAGGATGGCCTGCACAACGCCAGTAGCGATCCCGATGACCACGAGGGGTTTCATCCGACTCTGTCCCTGCAAGATCTTGCCCATCAGCGTGCTCGCAGCAGCAAAGGGCATACCAGGCAGGGTCAGCAGCACCAACTTGTAGGCCAGTTCAGCAAGTTCCCGTTGTTGTCCCGCGAACTCGAGGAGCTCGACACAATAGACACTGGCAAGGACAATGGGTGGAAAGCCAAGGCAAAAGACGAGCATGCCCGTCTGAAACAAGAGACCGAGGTCCTGGAGTTGACCGGCACCGTACGCTTGCGCGCAAAGTGTGTCCATTGCTGCACTCATGGCAGCAATGAGGCTCGCGCTTGTGAGCATCGTGAACGTGACGGCGAGACTGCGAGCAGCGATGAACGCGCTGCTATCGACAGCACTGAGGTGACCCGTGAGCACGCCACCGAAGAAGTCCGGGGCAAAGTCGACAATGGCAAACAGCAGGATCTGGAGCGACAGATGCAGGACGGCGTGGCACTCGCTCGATTGGTTTCGCAGGGGCATCTCCGGGTGTTGTTCACATGGTGTCAAGGTCGTTTCGTGCTCTGCTGTCCCCAGAACCGGGTCGTGAGGCGTCCGTGCGGCTTGTTTTTGGAGGTGCAATGGCGTGCACTCGGTCGCGTCGGCTGACTTGGGCGACTCGAGCGTTGCAGCAAGTTTTTTCAGCAGGCCGGTGCACAGCGTTTTGGTGGCCTCGACCGTCATCGTGAGGTGAGCGGATGCCGCCGAGACGGTGTTGACCCCATTCGTAGTGCTTTGCTTCACGGTGAACATGGGTCTACCTCTCCAGTTCGCAAGTGGTTGTCGACAAAGGGAGGGGCTGGGTGGCTCCCCTGACTCGTGGAGAGCGATATCCTTCTCAGCCGAAGAGGCCGATCGATTTGCTTTCGATCGCAGCGAGTCGTGGAAGGCGTGGGACGGCCAGAGACATGATTACGCGTTGCGTCAGGCACCTGCTAATGTATTTCAGGTTATCGGAGACTTGCGTCGGGACAGGTGGCGTTGACGGAACACACGAAAGGGGCTATGATGACCGCATCACGGAGCTCTCGATCCGTCATGGATTGGTCGTGCGACATTGCATTGCTGGCGACGGACCAACGATTTCAAGTGGCTTTTTCGCCGCACAGACACACGTTGCGAATTTGACGTTTGGTTGCTCGCTTTCCAGCTCGTTTGATCAGGCCGTAGTGGCACGTGGCACCTGTAGACTGGATCTTCTAGGCGAGGAATGTTTAGTGTATCCGAACAACAAGTGTATCCTCTCGACCGAAAGAGTTTCACACGATCGGGGAAGACACATCATCCCACGTCCATCTCTCTCTCTGGAGAGTATCAGGTTCGCACGGATAGCTTTAATGCAAGCCCTTCGAGCAGCTGCTGTAAGCCCATGATAAGGTCTGGTCTTGAATCGTGGTAACACGGACGGATGCAGTTGCAGCCAGTCAACTTTAGGCGCCTCAAAAGGGTTGCGAAGGTTTGAGAAGGACAGAGCGGTCGGTACCACGACAACGAAAACGATGATATCGTTGCGGGACGTGGTAACTGCTGACGTTAGTACGGATCGAAGAGACGTTTACTAGCGCACGTAGAGGCAGGCGGAAGGATCGAGATTGGATGTGAGCCAGCGATCCAAGATCGGGCTTCAGTAGACAGGGACAGCCCGCTGGTCTAACTGCTGCGAGAGCAACGCCAGAGGCGTAGGGGATCCAGTTTTATTCACAACTGCGCCAATGGACGCAACCGGCCAAGTGAGACCGAGAAGCGCGTTTGGCGAATATGGATACTGCAGTTGCTAACGCACAGAGTTAGGACAGGAACTTGATGGCGTAACCACAAAGCGCTACGTGCGTTGATCGTCTCTTCTACTAGCGATCTGATGAGTCCTGAAGACGAGACAAGGGGCACAGCAGTAGCAATGCAACAGGTCCGTTGTCACCGCTGGTCGATGCTGAGACATCGACCAAGTCCATGGGAAGAAACGTGCTTTGAAACATGTTTCTTCCCACGGACTTACTACGCTACGCTCCTATCTCAAATGTAGAAGACGCCTCAGGCTTCTTGCGACAATGCTGGCGTCGACAAGCGCCTGCAGACGCAGCGACGCCTTTGTTTGTGTGCAGGAACGCAAGTTCAGTATTGCCGCAAACTTGGTCGCGCTTCAGTACGAACAAGAGCTGGTCGGCACTCCCAGCAACGTCACTTCCTCTTCGTGTATACGAAAAAGCTGCTGGAGTTTGCTCGTGGCTGTCACTCCCTTGCTCCTGAGCCGTGTCTGAACCAGCGCTTGACAACACATGTGCGCACAAAATGCTCCTTCTCCTCACTCTCGATGCTCCTGCCATTGTCTGCTTGCCCTGCAATATCTTCGAGCTCAAAGGAGCATTCTGCTGTAGAGCCACACCCGAGTTCGTCCGAGTAACGTCCATGCGCCTCAGCGAAGGAGTCGTCGTCATGGTCACTACAACCTGCAGCTGTACTCATTGTACCTAACGGACGTGAGCACGTTGACGACCACACTGGCGCCATTTCCAAAACCAGTCATCGCCCACGATATCAGTATCTACTTCGTGGCCACATAGCATCGCAAACACTTTGCATTCGATTCGCATTCCCGTCAGCATGAAGGTGGCCGTCGAGTTGGTCCGTGGCCCGACCACTGCATCGTGGTCGGTTCGCAATCTGAGGTGGAGCGGCTATTGCTGTTCCACCACATTCTAGCGATCCATGTCCGTCTGTCGTCGTAAAGCCGACTTGAACGTATGAACTATGATGTCAATGGACGAAGAGGTGCCCGAAGATTTTGTGTATCGGATGCCACTTGGCAACGCAGCATCGTGTATGCTCCCAACTTCTTGGGTCGCATTTCGCTCAATCGTCGACGCACGAACGCGCCGGAGCTGGCAGAGCTCACTACGTCTCCTCAATTCATCATACAGACGCAACACGTGCTGCAAATTTGCTGCATGTGTGCATATCTATTGGACAGCAAGAGATGCGTTTCTCGCATGTAGGCCTTCCACGCTGGAACTAGTGACATACTTGAAAGCGCAAGACCTGCAGGGACAGAGTCGACACTTGTCCGACTTGTGACGCTATATAGCACCAGAAGCAAAGCACGACACGCGCGTGATGGCGAATGTATCGTGCATTGCTACTTCATTTACACTTATTTACCAGCATGACAACGAGCGCACTTTGTCACGAGAACGAGCAGCAACGTGTGATTAAAACCGAGGCGGCTGACCGACCGACTTTTGTTTTATTCATTACCACAGAACCACACTGTTGACGTTCCTGCTCGAACGTCCAACACCTTGCCGCACTTCTTGACCGCGACACGTGACTACCAGATGGGGGTGTCATTGGGCAGCCTGCCGTGCATTGCAACGTAGATGTCAAGTGAACGTCGTGTGTGGTTCTCAAGACGCGATAACGCACGTTTTTGCAGCTCATGGCTACCTTTTCTTTCCAGCAGAAAATGCGTCAAACCTGTTCAAAACCTGCGAACCCTCCAGCAACTCAAGCACTTCTCGAGCGATTACGGCAGTTTGCTGGAAGAAGCTGAGAGAACGGGTCAAATCACAGCGATGGAGACGCGACTTTCCCGAATTCGTCACATTTGCGGTCGTCTCTTGCTCCTGATTGGCTGCCAATCTTAACCCCATCTCGTCTCGCCTCTCCCCCACTATTTAGTGTAAGCGTGGTGTAGCGTGTCCGAAAACAACGCCAAAAGAGACGCGTCTGTCGTCATCACCACCCAACGGCATCAGTAGTAATCACAACGAGTACCTACTACTCAGTATACTACTACTACTACCCCAGTACTATTTCGCCTCCGCCAGTACTATTACGCCTCCGCCAGTACTATTACTCCTTCGCCAACACTACTACGACTGCTACGCGCACAGCTACTGCTGCTACCTCATCGCTCGTCGCTCACTCCACCGCGCAATGGCCGCGCTGGATGAGGACTGGGAAGAGTGGACGCCAGAAAAAGGCTCGTTTGTCCACCACATGGTCGCAGGCTCCGCAGCTGGCGTCGCGGAGCACGTGTCGATCTTCCCGATTGATACCGTCAAAGTACGCGCCCATGGCTTGAATGTGTCTGAAGTAGCAGCAACAGCACCCGCGGTTATTGGCTTGTTGAGTACGGTGATTGTGCGATTTGGCGTCTGCTAATTGGTATATTGTGCAATTGTTATATTGTGCAACGGGTATTGTGATTGCTACGCAGACGCACATGCAGTGCCAGCGCTGCACTGCGATCGGTCAACCGCTCGTGCTGACCGCCACGCAGACGGCGCGCCAGCTCGTGGCCGAAGAAGGGCCGCTCCGGCTCTTTCGGGGCGTCAGCACAATGCTGGGCGCGAGTTTGCCGGCCCATGCCGTGTACTTTTCCGTGTTTGAAGCAGCAAAGAAGGCGCTGAATGCCGACACTAACACGTTGACGCCCATGGCGTCGGGTTTGGCCGGTGTGGTTGCGACAGTGTGTCACGACTCGATCATGACGCCGATGGATGTACGTTGTCCCCATGTCGGGTTTCCTGCGGGTGTTGATCTCTTTTGCTCTGTTGATACTGATGGTACTTGTTCTCTGTGCCTGTTGGAACTGTCTGTCATGCTGTGTGATGCCGTGTTTTTTCTTGCGTGTGACGGTTCTATTGGTCAGGTCGTCAAGCAGCGTCTGCAGTTAGGATACTACCGAGGGGTTGCAGATTGTTTTCAGACGGTGAGGAACGTGAATGACGTCGTGATACTTGAGGTAGTTGCAGAGTTGCTGAGCTTTTTCTTACGCTCGAATCACGTGCACGGCAATGCATTGCAACGAGCAGGTCATGAAGCACGAAGGCTTGCGTGCGTTGTATATTAGCTTCCCCACGACACTGTTGATGAATCTACCATACAGGTACATCCTCGTGGTTCGATGGTGGCAGTTTGCTGCAGTTTTGATTGCACGGATGAGCTGCTGAAATGGAGACGTGTATGTTCTGGCTCATACTAGCATGATCATGGTGTCGGCAAACGAGACGTTCAAGAAGATTCTGAACCCGTCAGGAGAGATGAACGTCTCGGCATACATCGCATCTGGCGCTGCGGCTGGAGCACTGGTATGGATTTCAGTACGCGTAATCGAATGCAGTAATTGTGCCGCACGAGCTCTGACACTTAGCCATGTTTATTGCCATGTTGTTGCTTGCTGTCCGTCCTAGGCTGGAGGGTTGACGAATCCACTGGATGTGGCCAAGACCCGGTTGCAGACCCAGTCGATGATGGCCACTGAAGAAGCTTCGGTAGGAAATCGCATCACACGCATGAAATCGACTTTGGTATTGCCTCGCTTCTCGAGACCAGAGCTTCAGGTTCTTGTGCATCCCGCTTGGGGCTCCTCTTGCTTACATTCCTGCTGTATGTTCGCTTTTAAATTCACAGTGTCCATCTCGTGCCCATTGTGCGCAGCTCCAGACACGCAGCGTATCGATCACTGCTCCTTCTTCGTGCTCCGCTAGCAGTCGCTCAGGGGTACGTGGACGGACTTGCGTCGCGACAAAACAGTATTGGAACGATGCACTGACTTCTTCGGCATATGTGCGCTGGCGTGTTTACAGACACATCAAGCAGGACCAGTGTTGCGTCGTCAGTATGGCGGTCTCGTGGACACTCTCCTTCAGATTAGGGCGCAGGAAGGCTTTGCAGGCTTCTTTCGGGGCGTATACCCGCGGCTTCTAGTGCATGCACCTTCCGTGGCAGTGTCGTGGACAACTTTTGAAGTGTTAAAAAAGACTCTCGATCGGATGGGCGCTGACGACAATTAGCGCCAATCTTCCGTCCATATGAATCCCCTGCTGCTGTCGCAAGAGTTATACGCTGCACCGCGTCGAGGAGGTAGACTCGACTGGAAAGGCATGAGGAGAACCACATTGATCGTGCAACGAGCCGCTGGGCATGTGAGCAAAAGGAAAATAGAGAGAGTTACACTGGAGCGAAGTCGTCGAGTCGTCTATTGTTGCAGGAAATAGGTGAGAGCAACGCTTCGCCACCCGCCGATTCGAACCTTCCTCTCACTCACGCTGCAGTCTTCCTGGTACGTCAAGCCCGGGTGAGGAAGACCTTTGTTTGCTGCTTGTTCTTCTATCAGGCGCAGTTGTCTGCGGTCCCATGTGTGTCGCAGAGCGGCTGGTCAAATGTTCACGAGTTCAAGCCATGCTGGCTGTAATGGGGACGCAGCCTTGTACGAAATCAACTTGAATGCCATGTTCGTCGTCGGGTGGTGATCAAAAGGGTCGTTCGTGATGCTTCTGTTAGTTCCACCTGCTTCACGAGTCAAACGGCTGAGTTAGTATCGATGCATCCGTTTCCACCACCCAACGAGACACGCCCGTTGTGGATCGGTCTCTGCAGCTTTACTCGACCGAGTTCCCACGGCAATAGCTGTGCCTCAATCTCCAGCCACAGTGAAGGCTCCCGGCCCTGCTGTCGAGATGTCCGACGTTGCAGACGAACTGTAAGCAGTTGAAAAGACCAACAGCTAGAAACAGCTTACTCGACCACTGTACGATTCTTTTTGGTCCGTGAAATGCGAGAAGAAAGTGACGTGTCACGATAAGCTTGTTGATCCAGGTACTCGTGCAGTCGGACTAGGAGGTCCAGCAATGCGTGCGTCAGCTGTGGAATTTCGCACGGCTGGAGCAGCAATGACCACACTGTCAAGCTGAGCTCGAATCTTGTTTTCCAATGCTCGACAGTAGTCTTTGTCCGATCTACCATGCAAGTCGACCGAAAAGTCTGCGTGGTGTTCGCCCGGATCTTGGTGCCAAGTCTTTCAACAGCAGCATGGACTCGACAGGCAAAGCACGAGGAATGGCGGGCGTGCCGAAAACCTTTCGGCGTTTTGGGGCCACGATCGACGATCAGTCGGATTCACGACAACGAGGGTACCCCAACTGTTTGGTAATTTAGCTTCGAAACCCTTGTAGATAAACAACGCATCCATCATCTGTGCATGCTTGGCTGTATATTTATACAAAGCCAAGCATGCACAGATGATGTCTCGCCAGCTCTGGATTGAACAAATTGCGTTGCCACTCGCAGGGGCGGATCCGAGCGACACTGCGTCACCACTCTTGTTATGTGCCTCATCCCGCTGGCTTCAAATCCAGCTAGCCTCACAACTCCACAAGTGCCAACTTGAGCGTAGATCAGGCTTCGAGCATGAGCCACTTCGCAGCACTAGTCTTCCGTGAACGAACAGTGCCGGCATCTGCTTCCACTTGCCACTTGTCTAGACTCCTAACACATCGTTTCGCAATCAGAACTATGGCCACGGGCTCAGACGTTCGGTGAGCGACTTCTGCACGCAGCTCACGAGCTCAAACCAAAGACGTGACACAACCACTGTTGCTTGCCAGCAGAAGCACCGCGCGCGGGCCGCAGTTGTGCACTTCGTCCAAATGCGGACGCTCACGGACATCAAAGGATGCACTTAGCGACGTCCAAATTCACACCAGTCTCGAACAGAGGCGAAATTGACTTGCTGCTTCTTGGTGTCTCCGAAAGAAGTCCGCTATATCATGCACGAATGAGTGGCTTCGGCAACAACAACGCACGTTGGGCCAGTTGTCGACACCGGACTCAGTCTGCATGTCTTCGAATACAAGTGGGATAGAGACTATCAACACAATGATGCAAATGAAGAAGTTGACGGCTCGGTCGTAGTTCCTCTACAAAAGCTGTGGCACGAGACTCGTCCGACCGTCCAGAAATTGAGGCTTGACGTTTTCTGCTTCCGTCAAATTCGACGACCCCACGTCGGCTCGGCACAAGGGGCACGAACGCTCGTGGTCAAACCACTCAGCCACACACTCTTCACAAAACATGTGCGAGCATGCAAGCTTCACAGGCCGGTTCATGGGCTCGTAGCAGATCGAGCAGTCAGGCGATCCTGCTTCCACCAGCTCATCGCTCGAGACGTATACCCCAAACTCCAGCCCCAGCGTGACCAGAGAGCGTGCCAATACGAATATACGTCTGCCATGAGTGGCGAGTACTACGCCCTGTTGCAGAAATAACCAACATGCGCTTGTAACGTATACGCACACGGCTAAGCAGTTTGCAGCATCAACGTACCTTGATCAAGAGATAAGCGAACGTAAACACATCTGCCATGAACTTGGAAGCACAGAGCTGGTAGAAACTGCACCAAGGAATACTAGCCAGCAGCGACCGAAGGAAAATAGAGCACATCTCGATGATGCCATAGAGCTTCCGCTACACAGCATGCATGCCAACAACAATAAGCGAAAGGGCGAGTAGATGCGACCAAACCAAGCAGCTTCAAACGCACCTTTCGCCGGTTGAAAGCTACCGTCGAAACTGCGTGTTGTGTAAGTGGTGTCTCATCTGTAGTGCTATCGACGACTTCTTCCTCGATCGGTATAGCTGGCGGCACGCCTGCAACTACTGTCGCCGCAACCCTATACTTTTTTTCGCACGGAAAGCGGTCCGCTTTTGCACCAGCCACAAGTGCCTTCACAGCGATACTACAAAACCGGACCAGAAAATCTGCAACAGCATGCCAATCAGCTCATCGCAATTCATCTCACGGCTTCGTTGACTGCAACATAACACATCGTACCATTCACGAGGACTGTCCAGAGCACTTGCCAAAAATTGGCGCCAGTTGAGAGCAGGTGGCTGTCGTTATCACTACCGTGAGTCTTCGTCGACTGAAGTATTTGCGAAAAGGGATGCAGCGGGTTCGGCTTGCCGTCTAAAAAGCATATCACAGCCATATCGATAGCACACATGGCGACGATACTCAAGAGGTGCCAGGCGCTTGCCTTGTCCTTTAGTGCCACTTGCTCGCGTATGCGGTGGTCGAGTCCCATGACTGCAATCGTGCCGATAATAAACACCAGAATACCAGTCGCGTGTTCGTACGCAATGTAGATGAGAAAGAGCGCCACGAACGGCAACGAATGGTAGCACCGCCGACACAGTGCCTGCAGTTCGTCCACGGCTGTTTGCTCGTCGCTCTCTTCTTCTTCATCTTCTTTCTTCTTCAATATCGTGTCGTTCGGGCGTCACAGCACCATCATCGTCATCGTGATTACGATTACCACCACCATCATCACCATCATCATCACCACCGTCACTGTCGTCATCGTCATCATTGTCTTCCACACTGTTATCCACTTCTTCTGCTTCATCGCGTTCAGTTGTCGGTCGCACAGCCATAGCTATTTCTGCCACCACGTTGACCTCACGACTTCCAATGTGTCCACTCGACAACGTCGCTGTTTGTGAACTTTCGTGCTCGTGGCCAAAAGAGCGCAACGCTTGTCCTGGTTGTCGCTTCGCCGCGACAACGTCTTGTCTCAATAAAAAGTGTCGCTCACGAGTCTCCCTGTCCTCTTCTTCCTCCTCTTCTTCTCCCCCTGCTCGTCTCTCGCTTCCACCTCCTCCTTTATCCTCTTCCGTCACGTCTTCCGTTCGTTCTTGGACACGTCCCATTGCAAGTGGCATCTTCAGGTGGGTACACTCCCCAAAACAGTCGCCCGCACTCGATACATTCGTCCATACTGACACCTGCTTCGCACGCCTACTCCGTCCATTAATCTCACAAGTCAATTGCGGCATTCTTCGCGTTACTTCACCGCCACACGTTCTGCCCCACGTCTCCCGATTGTGAGACGCCTTCGCGCTGCTTTTCGCCAAAGGTCGAGCTATCGCGTCCATTGGCATCTGCTGCGCCCTCGTAACGTCCACCTGCAGGCGCTTTCGTGAATAGAGCGCACGTGGCAATGACTTCTGTGGACGCATTGGGAGCGATCGAGACGCGCGCGTGGCGTCCACAGGACGGGAACAGCGGTCGGAATCCATCGACGCGTTCATGTTGTCGCCCTTTTCATTATTGACGCGACGATGGGGTATTAGAGATCGAGAGGTATAAAGTTTAGCAGGGACAGCCACATCCGATCGGTGTAGAAAACCCGAACAGTTCGTCAGTTAGCTGAACCGGTCGACAGGTACATTGATTTGGTTTCCGCCAATGCGACAGTAGCTGCTGCGATGTAGGAACATTCATTGTCAATGGGCTTCGAGGCCCACCTCACCAATTACTTTGTGACATTCCTACACCGATCGTTTGCGAACGTATGGCGTGAAAATTGATGTACGAATGTTCGCTGCAATACCGTCATCCTTTCTGCGGCCATCTTGTAAACCATTCAACTATCGCGTGTGCGTCTTTCCATCGAGTGAATTCCGATTTTGCGTTAGACGGATGGGAAGTGTAATGCAAAGATGAGGCTGTATCCGCAGATGCCGGAGAACTGATGCGCACTGCTGCGTCCAGATACTTTGCGTCCGCACGGCAACACTAATTCCAAGAACCCGCAGCTGACCAATACATCCGGACGTCGGTGAACAAATGTGTTAACGTCGTATGCAGCTAACGCTAGGTCAGCTCATGCAGCACGCATATAAGCGATGATCATATCTGGATCACAGTATTATCTTGCCCAAGATACGGCCGTCGGCTGACGCCGACTCGACTCGCCAAGATGCTTTAGGCGCCAACGAGCCTGGCAGGGTTGTAGACTTCATTGCGTGATACTTGGTGCAGTATATGAAGAGTAAACTTCAAGTGGTGGATGCGTCGTTGTTGCCACCATCTAGTCTATATTCCAGTAGTGTGCTATGGTTTGAGGTTCATGAGCTTGATTGTGCGTCGTGATACGACCACTGACGCAAATGTGCAATATCGTTGCTACGAGACCAGTTACTACGAGATCACGTGTCATTGCTGTGACGTCCCGTTAGTGTTGCTGCACATGGCTGGTAATCGAAAGTTGGAGCTGAAGTGCTTGTCCAGCCGCGTAATCTGCCTTGTTGCCGACCCTTTCCTTGCTACAACATAGTACAAACTTCAATATAATTATGTGCAAGCGTCTGTGCAATATGGCAGCATACAATGGCGCACATGTCGAGCTCGAGCAGCCTAGGTAGGTTGTCATTTGAAGTCGTGAGGCCAGAGCAAAATCCGGTAGAAAGACGCGCTTTTGTTGCTTGCCTTCGATTATGACGAGCCATCCGATGCGGTGACTTGTCACAATGCACTCGCTGACGTGCGATGTCAATATGCAAAGGTGCCGAAACGAATTGATGTCTCTCTGTAAGGTTTCGATCGCATTGTCTTTGACAAAAGCTGCAAGGATTGCAAACACCGTTGGTCGAAGTGAGGTACAGTCTGTTGCTACAAACGCGATAAAGGCACCACAGGTCGAGATGCATATCGCCAGCGAGCGCTATGTACAACAGGGACACATGGTACCTATTACATTATGGTACGCGCATTGTATTCCACAGCGCTTGTTGCTTGTCGTTTTCCGGTCGAATCGAGTCAACTAATAAAAGGTGAGACTTGTCACGAGTCTGATGTTATGCAGAATATGACCGACGAAGATATTGTGATCATCGAAAGCTAATAATAAAGTAAAGTACTCACAAATTAAGTCTATAAGCTGATAAAAAATTGCCTAGAATTACAAGATGATGCACAGCAATTTTAAGATCATAACATCTATATTTCAATGTTCGAACATGAAATTGTAACAAAGTTACTTTTTTTGTTTCCATGCAAATCCGTGTTTGCAAGTCTACTTGGCGACATTCACAAACAATAGATTCGATAGTAATTACGAAGCTACAGACCAATGATTGGGGAAGGCGTTGGCTCAAAGATCAAATTTGCTCTTTAACTAGCAGTACGACTCATGACGTCAACCAGCGATAACAAACTTCGACTTTTGACTTCAAAATTGATCCGGAACGGCGACTGGCACTCAACTTCGTTTAGATAACGAAAAAAAGCAAGATCTTCACAATGCAACAAGCTTAAAAGATAGGTGATTTTAAGAATAAATTGTACAAGGTGCTAACAAGGCGCCTTAAAAAGACACTAAGAATTAATTAATATAACAACTTATTTGGTTTTATTTACGGCAATCATTGTTGTTGGAAATGGAAGCTCAGCTGACACTCACTCGAAATGCTAATGTGACCGTCACTGTTTCGAGTGGACAACTGTATCGTACCACAAGTAGATGTTGTGACTGCACGAATAAAACGGCCTCCAGAAGGGCCTTCAAGGTTGATGCATTTAGATTTAATCAGTTAGCTGATTTGAATGTGTAGGATTTTATAAGAGCAAATTTGCTTTTCCATTTGCTTCCTCGTTGATTGATCCCCTCTATTTGTCCTAGTTACTACAGGTTATGAACCCAAGCACGGTGGGGGCGAACGATATTATCAACAAAGACAACTGATTCGTATGGGAGTTTAACGCGCAGATGGAGCTTGCCAAGAAGAGGCTGTTGGAACACATCGACGTGACGAAGGAAACGAGCGAAGATGACGCTAGCGCGTCGATATGTAAAGTCAACGACATGAAGGCCTTTGAAAAATTTGTACGATGATCAACTCAAGGTATCAGTCTATGGTTTACAATGTAGGGACAACTGCAGAAGCGTGGGGATTTTAAAGAGCTTCTTTCTTCGTAGAAGCATTCGTAGTCGGGTGCAGATGTTGGATACTGAGTTTATGTGGCTTATATGACATTGGAGTAGTTTCGGGGATGGGCGACTGTTCGGGACTACGGTGTCAGTGAAACGACCGCGCTGTGGTTGAAGTGAACACGGTGTAAGGAGGCATAGAAATACATATAAAAACTCAGTAACGGTTTCACATTTGCACTCAAACGACGAGGCTGGATTATTTACACAGGGGAGTTTTTAGGTTATGAGCCCAAAAACGCCTGTAGTCCCTGCACACAATGGATGCGCGCCTCTCACACCGGGTGACCGCAATCAGATGGCCATGTCACCATTTACCGAGTATGCAGAGGCATTCACGCGTGAATGGTCGATGGAACCAGCAATGTAAATCTTAAGATCCTCGAGGCATTAATCGCCATGCAAGATCGCATGGCACGTCTTATTTCTTCGCAGCTTAAGCGAGAGGAGGAAGAGCGCATGAAGGAAGATCAAGAGACTGGTGTTTCTCAGTAATCATTTGGAAGAGGTTTTGGTTCGTCACGAATGGAGATGAATGCACTCCTTTACACGCCTCCACCAGTGAGGGAACATGTGCCAAGGGATCCGCAGTTCCAGAGCTATATGTATCGGCAGCATCATGAGTATGCTGCTATGAGGCAAGGCCAGTCGATGCCTCAAGCGCCTTCACAGCAGCGGGCACCAGTCCCACCAAATTTGCCTCCTGACTACGTTCCACAACAGATGGGTCAGATTCGAGTACCCGACACTCGCCAGAGGCAATCATCAATTCGTACTTTTGATGGAAAATAATTATGCGAAGGACTAGGGTCTGATTTTCTAGCTTGAAGTCATCGTTTCGTCAGGCAGCTTGTGCTGGGTCAGATGGTATGTAAATTTGATTGGTCTGGAGAGGTTAAATATGATATACTAGGACATTTCATGGGTGTTACTATGGAGAGATTTATGCCGTGTGACCCCTCAGATCTCCAGGGGGTGATCTGCGAGTACCTCGGCTCGATTTGAACTCGCCAGGGTCCCACACCCCTCATTACACTATGGGGCTTTTCGGCTAGTAGGGCCTCCAGCCCACCCAACTATCACACACCCTTCGGTGCGGGTTGGCAGGGCGGCCACCCATTGGGTGGTTGCTCGTCATACTTAATTAGCCTATCTCCGGCGCCCTGTAATCGAACCCCCCTCCAGGATATCGATCCAGGTACCTCCCGATCCCAGCTCCAGTAGTCTACCACTCACCCACTGTGGTCGGTGGATGTTACGATAGAGCGGTCCTACCATAAGCAGCTTGAGACTTGGTAGCAACCATCTCTGCAATATGTAATGGAATGTTTGCACCAAATGTCTCGAGCGACAATTACTTAAGCTCAAGCCAACAAGCTTTTAACCGCAAAAAAAGATTTGAAGAGGTCAATAAATTATGGCGAGGCTATGGGAAGTAAAAAAGTCGGATGTACGGGTCAAAGCTATGGACGAAGAATTGTCTGCGTTAAGCCGACTTGGTGTTCTCAAAGTCATTAAATGTCCCAAAGACATAAATTTATTGCACATTAAATGGGTATTTAAGCCGTAGACTGACGCGCAACAAAACATTGAGCGTTTTAAGGCCCGACTTGTTGCTTGTGGAAACGAGCAAA